CTTTAGCCACGAGGACGAAACACCTTATGAGTGGGCTACTGTCTTGTTGTGACGTCATAGTGTGTGTGTGTGTGTGTGTGTGTGTGTGTGTGTGTGTGTGTGTGTGTGTGTGTGTGTGTGTGTGTGTCCTACCCTCCCACCATCTGGCACTCCTCAACACACCTTTATCACGTTAGTTTAGTTGTAATGTTGACCTATAAAACTGACTCGAGTGGTGACGTTATAATAATGTGGTAAATATATGTTGGTATAATTGATAATCTTATTTTCTTTCATAGTCTAGATAAAAGTGAACCTAGGACTCATACGGTTGATCTAACATTCGGGGTAGTGCGGATATAGTACACTGTAATGTGGTGAGGATAGGTTGTATTGTGGTGACCAGCATGAGAGTTGTTGTTGTTGTCGTGTAAAGGGAGACTGTTCAGCATCAGACAGCGTATTATTGGTCAACTTGTCTGGTAAACTTGTCAACAATACAGATTTATCAAGACGTTTGGGGAAAAAGTTTTATCAAGATTGTAAAGATTAAACCACAGTGAAGTTTGGTGAATGTTTTGATCTTAATACAGAGGTTAAGAAGCGCCATCAGGAGGATAACATCAGCTGGGTGATAGAGGAAAGTTTGTCTTTTTTAGATATATATCACTTTTTGTTCGAGGAAGAGAATCCGGTTGGCAAGGAAGAAAATTTCAACCCCAGAAAATATAAAACGTGCTTCTGTTATCATCTTCAAGGAAAACGAACGGAAACTCACTCCTGTTGCTGTGACGAATGTGTTGTGTTGGCGTTCCTCTGTGTCACATTGAACCCACAGGAGATAATTATAATCACCCGTGTCGTGTTTATCTACCTGACCCCGTGACCCAGCCTCACCTCACACCCTCCATCATCACCTCTTCTCTACTGACCCCGTGACCCAGCCTCACCTCCACACCCACCATCATCACCTCTTCTCTACCAGACCCCGTGACCCAGCCTCACCTCACACACTCCATCATCACCTCTTCTCTACCTGACCCGTGACCCAGCCTCACCTCACACACCCCATCATCACCTCTTCTCTACCTGACCACGTGACCCAGCCTCACCTCACACACCCCATCATCCTCTTCTCTACCTGACCCCGTGACCCAGCCTCCTCCACCTCATCATCACCTCTTCTACCTGCCCCGTGACCCAGCCTCACCTCACACCCTCCATCATCACCTCTTCTCTACCTGACCCCGTGACCCAGCCTCCTCCACACCCTCCATCACCTCTTCTCTACCTGACCCCGGCCAGCCTCACCTCACCCTCCATCATCACCTCTTCTCTACCTGACCCCGTGACCCAGCCTCACCTCCACACCCCCATCATCACCTCTTCACCTGACCCCGTGACCCAGCCTCCACCTCACACCCCATCATCACCTCTTCTCTACCTGACCCCGTGACCCACCTCACCTCACACCCTCCATCATCACCTGCTTCCTAGCCCCATCATCACCTTCTCTACCTGGCCCCCCCATCATCACCGCTTCTCTACCTGACCCCATCATCACCGCTTCTCTACCTGGCCCCATCATCACCTTCCTCCATTTGTCATCACCGCTTCTCTACCTGACCCCCATCATCACCGCTTCTCTACCTGGCCCCATCATCACCTCTTCTCTACCTGGCCCCATCATCACCGCTTCTCTACCTAGCCCCCATCACCGCTTCTCTACCTATTTACATCATCACCGCTTCTCTACTGGCCCCATCATCACCGCTTCTCTACCTGGCCCCATCTCACCGCTTCTCTACCTGGCCCCCATCATCACCGCTTCTCTACCTGGCCCCATCATCACCGCTTCTCTACCTGGCCCCATCATCACCGCTTCTCTACCTGACCCCCATCATCACCGCTTCTCTACCTGGCCCCCATCATCACCTCTTCTCTACCTAGCCCCATCATCACCTCTTCTCTACCTGGCCCCCATCATCACCGCTTCTACCTGGCCCCCATCATCACCGCTTCTCTACCTGGCCCCCATCATCACCCCTCTTCTCTACCTATTTGCTCATCACCTCTTCTCTACCTGACCCCATCATCACCTCTTCTCTACCTGCCCCCATCATCACCGCTTCTCTACCTGCTTTACATCACCACCTCTTCTCTACCTGGCCCCACATCATCACCCGCTTCTCTACCTGGCCCCCATCATCACCGCTTCTCTACCTGGCCCCATCATCACCGCTTCTCTACCTGGCCCCATCATCACCTCTTCTCTACCTGGCCCCATCATCACCTCTTCTCTACCTGGCCCCATCATCACCTCTTCTCTACCTGGCTATCCTCTTCCTCTACCTATTTATCATCACCTCTTCTCTACCTATTTTCATCATCACCTGCCACCTGCCCCATCATCACCCTTCTCTACCTGGCCCCCATCATCACCGCTTCTCTACCTGGCCCCCCATCACCTCTTCTCTACCTGGCCCCATCATCACCGCTTCTCTACCTGCCCCCATCATCACCTCTTCTCTACCTGGCCCCATCATCACCGCTTCTCTACTTGCCCCCATCATCACCGCTTCTCTACCTGGCCCCCATCATCACCTCTTCTCTACCTGGCCCCATCATCACCGCTTCTCTACCTGCCCCCCATCATCACCCTTCTCTACCTGCCCCATCATCACCGCTTCTCTCCTGGCCCCATCATCACCTCTTCTACCTAGCCCCCCATCATCACCTCTTCTCTACCTGGCCCCATCATCACCGCTTCTCACCTGCCCCCCCATCATCACCGCTTCTCTACCTGGCCCCATCATCACCTCTTCTCTACCTGGCCCCCATCATCACCGCTTCTCTACCTGCCCCCATCATCACCGCTTCTCTACTAGCCCCATCATCACCGCTTCTCTACACCTGCCCCCCATCATCACCGCTTCTCACCTGGCCCCCCCATCATCACCGCTTCTCTACCTAGCCCCCATCATCACCGCTTCTCTACCTGGCCCCCATCATCACCTCTTCTACCTGGCCCCCATCATCACCGCTTCTCTACCTGGCCCCCCATCATCACTTCTTCTACCTGGCCCCATCACTTCTCTACCTGGCCCCCATCATCACCGCTTTCCACTCCTGCCCCCATCACCTCTTCTTCACCTGGCCCCCATCACCGCTTCTACCTGGCTTCCATCACCTCTTCCTGGCCCCCATCATCACCGCTTCACCTTTCCATCATCACCGCTTCACTGGCCCCCTTCATCACCGCTTCCTCTACCTGGCTCCCCACCGCTTCTCTCACCTGGCCCCCCATCACCCCCACCTGGTCCCCCCATCACCGCTCTCTACCTGGCCCCATCATCACTGCTCCCCTTCTGCCCCCCACCTCTTTCTCCTCTGGCCCCCATCATCACTGCTCTACCTGGCCCCCATCATCACCTCTCACCTGGCCCCCATCATCACCGCTTCTCTACCTGGCCCCATCATCACCGCTTCACCTGCCCCCATCATCACTCTTTCTCTACCTGCTCCCCATCATCACCTCTTTCTACCTGGCCCCCCCATCATCACCGCTTTCTCTCTGCCCCATCATCACCTCTTCTACCTGGCCCCATCACCTCTTCCTACCTGGTCCCCATCACTCCCGCTTCTACCTGGCTCCCCATCACCTCTTTCTCTACTCTGGCCCCCATCATCACCGCTTCTCTACCTGGGTTCCCCACTGACCTCTTACAGTTAGGTGGTATAGTGGTACTGTAACATGCTGGCCTCTCACTATACCTCTGGCTCAAGTCCTAAGGATCGGATGTGTTAGCCCAATGTGACCTTTTACCAAAACGTGACAGGTTTTCCCCAACTGACTGACACTGGATGATGAAGGTACAATGACCTAGACTGACCCCTCTCCACCACCGGTTGATAATAAGTACACAATGATGAGTTAAAAGGAGTTCTGAAGTTCTTTTAGGTTCAACACTACGTGACGTTCTGTTCAGAGAAATTTACCAAAGAGACCTGTTGGTGCTCTGCTGGCTTCTCTCCTTTCTCAGACTCCTGCTACACCTATATACCTAGCACAAACAAACACACAGCAGGTATGTATACGTTACTCCTTACACTGGGTATAAAAACTGCCCGGGATGCCCCCCCTTCCCAACCCCTTCCCACTACCCAACACTCACGTGCCTAACTCCTTCTAGAATCAGGAACCTAACCCAATCCCATCACACACCCCAACCTAATCCCAACGTAACCCAACCAAATCCCACAACAGTCAAGGTCATGGTCCAACCACCTGTTCACTCGTTCACCACCACCACCACTCACCTCGTTCACCACCCACCTGTCTCACCACCACACCACTCACTCACTCACCACCTCGTTCACTCACCACACACTCACCACGGTTATAGTTGTGAAAATTTATCTTAGAACCTTGAACTATTTCCTGTTGTGGGAGGGAAATCATCGTCATCAAGGTTAAATCATCGTCATCAGTTTAAATCATCGTCATCAAGTTTAAATCATCGTCATCAAAGGTTTAAATCATCGTCATCAAAGGGTTAAATCATCGTCATCAAAGGTTTAAATCATAGTCATCAAAGGGTTAAATCATAGTCATCAAAGGGTTAAATCATCGTCATCAAAGGGTTAAATCATCGTCATCAAAGGTTTAAATCATCGTCATCAAAGGGTTAAATCATCGTCATCAAAGGTTTAAATCATAGTCATCAAAGGGTTAAATCATCGTCATCAAAGGGTTAAATCATAGTCATCAAAGGGTTAAATCATCGTCATCAAAGGGTTAAATCATCGTCATCAAAGGGTTAAATCATAGTCATCAAAGGGTTAAATTATCGTCATCAAAGGGTCAAATCATAGTCATCAAAGGGTTAAATCATCGTCATCAAAGGGTTAAATCATCGTCATCAAAGGGTTAAATCATCGTCATCAAAGGGTTAAACTACCGGCGGTCCTCAAAGGGTTAAAATTCCACACTTATTAGTCAAATTTAAGGTGTGACTTACCTTCATTTGTGTCCTGTGTAATTGTTGCTGTCTCTCTCACTGTCTTTCTCAGATTTCTCTCTCTCTCTCTCACTGTCTTTCTCCGATTTCTCTCTCTGTCATTGTATTTCTCCGTTTTTTTTCTCTCTGTCTCTGTTTTCCTCCGGTTTCTCTCTGTCTCTCTCACTATCTCCTCCTCTGTGTGTCTCTGCTGTCACCACTTGATCTGCGAGACAATCTTTATATGCAAATTACGGCGGTCATCTCGCCCCCCCACCACTTCATTGATCACTTCGTTAGAGTTTAATGTTAAGTCCGTGTTGGGTTCAAGGTTGTGTAGTTGTGTGTTTGGTAACTACAAGATCTCGTTGGCTACCTTCACATAGTAACCTGCTCGTAGGAAATATATCACACTATGCGGAGTAGAATTTATAGATGGTGTGAATTTTGTGATGAGGAAGAATACCACACTATGGGTTGGTCTGGCGTTTGCTGTGAACGTTGTGGTAGGGAGTGGACAGTACACTAAGCGGTGTGGGGTCGTAGTTGTGTGTAAAGGCATGGATGAGTGGTGTCAACACGTGCCAAGCGCAGCACAGGATGCGGCATGGTAGATAGTGTATATGGTGAGGAGGCTGTGGACGACACAGTACAGTCACTAACGGGGAGACGGCCTCAGTCTCTACCAGGCAATTCTTCTCCGCGATAGCCCGTTCCCTTATGTGGTTCACAGACTTAAGGAAGAACCACGCACCAGGTCCCCTTGGTTCCCTACCAGAGCCACAGGTACACCCTTGTCTGGCTAAGTGACAGGGGACAGTACAGTACACGCCTTTGGGAATAGTTTATCTTCTGACGGTTGATGTTTTGCGTACTTACGACTCAAAGGATTATACGCAAATTACGCATCAGAGACACAACACCGGGACTTAGGCGGGGCAAGACGTGAGGTCCTCGTGGGGCGTGGAGAGACACAGTGAGCCTCTGGACCCCTGGAGGATGAGGTGCTGGGGCAGTGTGTCAGTGAGTGAGTGAGGGAGGAGCGTCTAGCCTGCCACCACCTCAAACGGCCAACTAGTACTGACGTTCCCGCGGTCCCGCCTCGCCTACATGGCCTCCAGTCCTGCTGCTGCCGCCACCCACTAGAGGCGGCCATACCGAGGGAAGGAGACCAGTGGCCGGTGTAGGATACCTTCATTATTTCTTGGTCGTTTAGCTTTGGCAGGTAGACCTTTCCATTGGTGTACGAGCCTCCCTCTGTGTGAAGAAGTTTGTCCTTCTGTGACCCCCCCCTCCCCCCATCGTTTTTTTAACAATGTTCTAGAAATTTTGAAATATCTTACGTCATATTACCATACAGACAAAAGAAGTGTTATTCAAGTTTTAACACAGCCGTTCATTGTTTCGTGATATACAGTAGTTTGTTCATTAAACTGTCAACAACAGCACCATGTGGGGCTGTGATGGGAGTACAGTACACTTTTCCTGTAGTGTCAGTCATTATAGATTGATTTCAATAAATAATTCCTAACTGACGTAAATTAATCTTGATAATATAAATCGCTTCTAACTAATTAACCCAACTTAACTCTTTATTTAGCCACTACACACAAGTTTTAACTCGTAACATTCTATTTATCTTTTGAATTACTTTTATATTGATTCAAACTCATGATGTAACTTTCAACTGTCTTATCCCTGAGGTACTGTACATTCTTGATAGGGTTTTTAACTTAATAAAAATCCTACTTGTGACCAATGACTGACCGTAACGAGGACTGTTTAGTGAGGACAAACACCCAACAAATAGTCTAACAGATGTTTCTATCAGTCATATTCCTCAACAAGCAGTGACCGGAGAAGAGGGGGGGGGTCAGGTCAGGTTAGGTGAGACGAGACTTTAACACACACACACACACACACACACACACACACAGTTCTTACTCCAAAAGGTGATGTGCTGTGTCACAATCTAGTGATGCTTCCGCTAGTGATAGTGACGCCGCGCTGGTGCCAGGAGAGGGAGGAGGGAGGGGGGGTGCAAGGAGGGGAGGGAGGGGAGGGAGGGAAAAGGAGGAGGGAGGGAGGGAAGCAGTAGAGGGAGAAAGGTAGGGGGATGCTAGTGGAGGGAGGGAGGAAGGGGATGCCAGTAAAGGGAGGGTGCCAGAAGAGGGAGGAAGGTAGGGGGATGCCAGTGGAGGGAGGAGGGTGCCAGTAAAAGGAAGGAGGGTAGAGGTGCCAGTAGTGGGGGACCCATTCGATCAGGTAACCAATTAAAACAGGTAAAGTCTGACCTATTGAACAGTTTCAGGAACGCAGTGTGATAAAACATTATTAGAAGTCAGTGTGGCAGCGATCAGAGCTCTTAGTGAGCGGTAGACGAGGCAAGCAGAACCTGCCCCCCCTCCCCCCAACCCTACCACATGCCCCTCACCTTAGGAGAGACTTGCTAAGGTGAGCTAATTAACAGGTGTATATTTACGGTTTACATCAGGGGTGGGTGAGTGGGTGGGATAATTTTCTCGGAGTACGATGATTTAACCCCTTGAGTACGATGGTTTAATCCCTTGAGTACGATAATTTTAACCTCTTGAGTACGGTAATTGATTCCATTGAGTATTAATGCATTGTACTCAGGGAATTATACTCAAAGGGTAACATATATCTTACTGAGCTATTTCTTTGTACTCAAGAAATTGTGGCACTCGTAGTCAAGGGGTTAAGGCGTGACATTAACCCCAGGATGTTGTGAGATAGAGCGAAGCAGACAGTGCCATTATCGATGTTGTTATTGGTAGTGTTGTTGTTGTTGTTGTTGTTGTTGGTAGTGTTGGTAGTGTTGTTGTTGTTGTTGTTGGTAGTGTTGGAGGAGAAGGCCTTAGTTGTTGTACTAGACCTTATGTTTATTGCTAACCCAACACACCTGAGTTTCACCCAATCGAACCTATCCTAACCTAACCTACCCTACCCTAACATCCCACCCCAAGCAGCGTTAGGTTAGGTTAGGTTAGGTTAGGGGATAGACTAGGCTGGAGACATGCCCTGAGATATACAGCTTCTGGGAGGATCGGTAAACACGTCGAATATATTTGGAGTTGTGGGCCGTATTCTCCAACCCTCAGGCATTAGGATGACACGTTGATTGATGTAGTTACTTCCTGGTAAAGTCATATATGTGTGGAGGTTCGTAGTGGCCTTGAGACTTATTAAATGTGGATTATATTTATCTGTATGTCCGTATGTAAGCAGTGTTCATATTTCCTCAATATTATGCTTATTTAACTTTATTATTCGTGTGTAAGCAGTTTGTATATGTAGTAAATATTCTTATAATTTAATTGTTTGTCTATTTATAATTCAGTTACATAATACAGATGGTCCGCAATGGTTACGTCACACAGCTGATGTTTGGTTGGAGTTACTAGGAACGGCTAGGCGGTGATGACGTCAGAGATACGCCACAATTAGCGTAGATTATAATCACTATGTAAATTTTATGACCCCCCGTAAACGACGCACGAGATAGGATACCAAGAATTATCATACGCTTATATATCAACACTTCCACGAACAGTAACTCCTTTTAGTTTTTTTTTTTTTCATTTGCGTATATATATATATTTTCCTGTTCGTATAATGGATCACCTTTTGAAGTCGCATTCATATGGGAGTCTTATGTAAAAATGTTCCCTCCCTAACTGATGATGTGAGACAGCGTTTACACACACACACACACACACACACACACACACACACACACACACACACACACACACACACACTGTACGAATGTGTTTGGCGTGTCTTTGCATGGAACTAATCTTTACCATGTGTCTAGTGAGCCAGAATCGAGGACCACCACGCTAGTCCTTGAGTCGAGGACCACCACGTTGGGTTTATCATGTCTTCGTGTGGTCGTCTTGCCAAATTGTCCTTATTTTCCTGTAACTTTTTTTTAATATATTTTTTGTCATTATTTAGCAAAGTACTGTCGTTGTCGTCGTGTTTGTTGTTGTTTTCATCGTCCGTCATCGTCCGTCATCGTCCGTCATCGTCCTCAACAATATTAAGTTCACAGTGACGAGTTGTGTTGTACAGGAGAGGTGGGTGAGCTATCCTTCGGCAACACAACACAACACAACACAACACCGCTCTCATATCTTTTCCTTGTATGTCTCACCAGAACTATGAAAGTCTATTTATGTATTGATAATAAAAAACTTTAATCTTGAGAGTGAGATAATTATCTCACTCTCAACGCCTACATTATAATGTGGGCGTTGTGTTCACCTAATGCGGGCGTTGTGTTTACCTTCTCGGTCTACCTGCCACCCCATCCTGCACGTCCCGGGGGGTGGGTGGAGGGGTGTTGATGCCCCTCCCCTTACACCTGCACGGACAGACAAGCCTTTATTACCATGTTGAGAAGATGGTCACTCCTAAAGAAGGCTAAGCCGCCCACCTGCTCTGGCCGCCCTGATTAACCCACAGAGAGAGAGAGAGAGAGAGAGAGAGAGAGAGAGAGAGAGAGAGGGGACGGGGGGGTAGCACCAGTTTAAGCAGAGAGCGGGAGTCTGTTCGTCTGGCAGAGTAGGGTACATAAGTGCTTCATTGCAGGGTGAGAGGGGAAACACCAAGGATGTCGATTACTCGTGCTGAGTAATGTGGGGGTAAAGCTGGTGGCTGGTCAGTTAGTAGCTGTTGGAGGCAGTTAAAGGCGCTTGGCTGTTATATCTCTTTTTTGGAGGTTGGAGGTGAGCTGTGGCGCGGCGGGATGTCGGCAGCAGCTTTAGACTTTGTTCATTATACCCTGTACCTTATGCCAAATATTGAGAGAGAAATTTATAGTTGTTCTGTAAAATTATTATTATTATATTGATCCTCCACGTAGAGTCCATACACGGTCCAGGCGAAGAAGGAGAGTATAAGGTATAGCCTGAGAATGACGTCTAATTACTTCTCTCGTAAACCCACCTGCTGCTGCATGTATGGAACTGAGTCTGTATTCCATTCTCTTAGTCCATTAACATTAACACGTTTGTAGAAGCATCGAGGCTGCTATTATCCTTGAACTACTACACTAGACTGACTACGTTACCTTCATGAACGACGGTACAGGTTGCCACAGTATTCCTACTCTACAGTCACCTAAAGAATGGTAAATGTAATGCTGGCGGTCAAGGAAAAGCGGATAAAACTACTCTTTAAGTTAGGTGATACATTTAATAATATATAATTACATTTTTTTACCCATCTGAGCCTTGTGTAGGTTCAAGTCCCTGAGATTCCATAGATTCAGTAGTCTCTCCTTCAGCAGTCACCAGTAGCCATCCCGAGTCCAAAGGCCTTTAAACGATATATAAAGAACTCGAGGGTATAAAGCAGAGTCTTGGAGACGTAGTGGAACGATATGGTGGTCTCACTACAGCACTCAAAACCCTGGAAAAGAAAATGTGGAGTTGTTCAAGACTACAGGGATGACATTAATACTGTAGAGATATACCAAAAACTGGAGTCGGAGGAGATGATGATGGAGTGAGGAGAAGATGGAGGGGGAGAGGAGTAGGGAAGAGGAGGAGAGGATAAAGAGTAAGGAATTGAAGGAATAGGGAAAGAACATAAGCAGGAGAAGATGAATGAAGAGGAATAGTCAAAAGAGGAGTAGGAGGAGAAGAAGAAGAAGACGAAGAGGAAGAAGAAGACGAAGGGGAAGAAGAAGAAGAAGAAGCGGTACTACGGGGCTCACTCACCTGCTCATGATCGTGTGCAAGATTCTGCCAATACCAGAAGTCAAACGATTTAGCCTTAGGCACTAATACATCGGAGGGAACAAAGGGGAAGAACCTGGGCCTACCATTCCCATCCCTTGAGTCCCCAGGATGAACCCCAGCAGCTGCCATAAAGCGCCCTGGAGTACAAACAAAATACTGATGTTAGGTTCCTGCAGTCAAGCTTTTTTTTCCCTAAATAAACAAACCATTATGAGGGAGTGTGTATAAAAGCTGTTGGTAAGATTTGTAACGAATTAGTTATTATGAAATTACACAATAATAAATCATTTGTTTCTCCTGCTGTAAAACACGATACAAGATGCCACCGTTACCCATGGCGCCTTCCATGTACAAGAACAGAGAAACAAAAGAAGAATGTCTTTTATGATACTGCCAACTGTTTGATGGGAGAAAATAAAACACCAAGAAGAACTAAGACATGACTAAGGTGACTACATTACCCATCTGGACGTCCTCAGCACCCTGGGAGTGGGCCAGCGTGTTATTCCTCAGGCCAGCTTGTACAAAGGCTTGAAGAGCACCCCGGCTGAGGACGTAGCCGGCACCCCCGCTCATGTAACCCTGAGGAGAAAATATTTATACCACAGTGGCGAGACAGTTATGGTGAGTTACTAGGGGGTATAAAGTAAAAGACATTTTAACCCTGGATCTGTTATTTAGGAGAGAAAATGTACATAACTCATGGATCTTACTGTCACCATGAGGTCCCTATGTGTGGTGTAGTATCCTAGTCTCTACAGCTGCACTTGCTTGGGTTAGTCGTCGTTACCTGATGGAACTTGAGAGACGAAAAATTCCCCTAAAATAGTGGTTATGGGGATGATGATGATGAATAGGGCCTTTATTTGTTTGAGAACACAATATGATGCGGCCTTGGCATATGGTAAAATACTGTATAGTTATTGGTCAATTAATTAGACAAACAAATTAAGTATCGTGGTGAATACAGAGTTAGTTTTCGTTTAGCTTCTCAGTGTTTTTGTTTAGACTAATATTATTGCAACCTCATTAAGTGTTTAGAGACAACAGAGGCCTGGATGTATTGTGGGTCAGATATATAGGGTGGCCTGGAGTGCGGAGGGAGTCAGGTGTTTGAGAAAGTGGGGGAAATTATCGTACTGCACCACAGAAATATAAATGCTTTAATATTTCATCAATTCAAAGAAGTTTAAAATTATTAAGTAAAAAGTAAAATAAGAAAATATATGTTTACGTAATATTACAAACAAATATAGTTTACTTTTTCATTGGGACTTAAAGTACTGACCTTGGGAACAATGTTTTCAAAGTGACAGCCATAGTAGAGCGGTGTTTCGGGGTCCTTGTCGTGCAGCCAATAGCGAAGGTTCTCCAGGATGAGATAAGTGTCGTCATCAGCCTTCACAAACCACTCAAAGTCATCCAGATAGTGAAGGTAAGCGTGACGGAATGAATCCTACACGCAACAGGGGGAGAAAAATTAAGTCTTATTAAACAAATTATGGGGAAATATGAGGTACTACGGACAACTAACTCTTTTACTCAGACCACATTGATCTTCAGAGAGATTACCAAAACCTACACTATGTGTTTGGTTACCTTGGTGGACGTGTTGCTCCTGCACTTATGGGTTCAACACCAATCTCATGACATCCTTAGGTGCAGGAAGGCTATTGTTTCACTGTGAAGATGATGGCATTAAATCTACGTCAAGCAGAGAGATACTTATGTAACGATATTGCCCCGTTCCCATCTGTCCAAAACACCAATGTTTATCATCACTTGTTATAATCACTATACCTTCCACGAGCTTCCTCTACCACATGACCATCTCCAAACATCGCAATATCATATTTTTATCTCATGGGATCGAGTTTATTGATAACCCTTCTATTTGTGTGTGTGTGTGTGTGTGTGTGTGTGTGTGTGTGTGTGTGTGTGTGTGTGTGTGCGTGTGTGTAATGCCGACCATTGGGATAAACCTTATAAACTCCAACCTCGTGCTTCACACCTCCACGTCTAGCATAGTGAAGGAGAAGCTCACGTCTCCCATCCCTTGCCACTCATAAAACACTGAGGAGCTTTTGAGTAAACTTACCCTGGTTTTGTTCCATAGCCCATCACGCCCCCTGGAGGCATGAGGCACAGTTAACAAGGGTAATTCCTCATCACCCGGCTCATCATCCTCCTCTTCTGCATTAGTGACAAAGAGGATCTTGGTGCAGCGACGGCCCCATGTGTGGTATATGTGGATGGCGTGTGTAGTATGGTGGAGCGGGTAGGTCACCACCAGACACAACACTCGCACTCTCTCCATCAGCTGCTCAGCCACGCTTCCATCTAACACCACACAGCGGATGAACACTTATAATACAGCGGTTATCTTAGAGTCGAGCTACAACCATTCACTGCTGGAAAATGCTCTTCAAATGAACCTACTGTTACTTGGGAAAAAGTTACTCAAGTAGAAATATAAATTAGCATCATTAGAGACTACTGAACTAACCTTATCTCCCAGACTTAGCACAGTGGTATCATTCTCAATTGTGCTCTTAATTGACAGAATAATCTAGTAATTTTAAACTTGTTCTGTCAATCAATTAACTCGGACCTTTGTTTAATTCGAATTTGTATTTAGTGATCATAATGTTTGTGTTTTATTGTAATGTTCAATATTTCATTTTATTGCCCGGTAGTCCCTCTATGGTCAAATCGTTTCAAGACTTCACATTAGTCAGGTTGTATTTCTATATAGTGCAGTACAGCCTTGGCATAAACGAAGAATCTATACTCACAACATTTCTTTCCGGGGCCAGAGCGTGTGGGCGGCAGGTCACCCGTGTGGCTAGACATGTTTTGTTTGGTGGTGTGGAGCGGTGCCGAGGGTGGACTGGAGGATGACCCACGAGGAGCAGCGTCCGGAAGAAGGGAGGGATGAGGAGGAGAAAGGAGAACGTTGTCTTCCTGGAGGCCGCCCCACCACTCTCCTGACAATAGTGACGTCAGTGTAGTGTTTGGTGAGGATATACAGCAGATACTATATATTCCGTGACCGATGGTTACAGGGAAATATCGTTCTACAATGGTGAAGATGGGGTACAGGACCACACACTCAGAAACTACCACAAAACTGCCTGTAAGACGTTTATATAAGTAATCATTGGTAGCAGCTCAGCACTAAGGCTCCATTGTAAAATGTACAGAGTTTTCTGCCACTGATGAATCACATCTAACATGTTACTGTGTTATGTACAGTCATTCATAGGATAGTACTTGCAGGTGTTTATAAAATGATAAAGCTTAATAATTTCGCTAAACAAGTGTTAACGTCTGGTAATATCAGCTGATGAGAGCTGTGAGGAGCGCGATACTCACCTAAAGGGAGGCGTGAGGGTGGAAGGTGGTAGGTGGTGGAGAGGGAGAGGGAGGTGAAGTGGAGGAGAGCCAAGGTGAGCCCCAACACGAAGCCTGCCATCAGGGTGAGGAGGCAGTGAAGCACACCCCCGCGGACAACACACCCCGCCGCCTCTCTTACACTCATCTTCCCAGCGCACACCCTGTCAACACGTCTCCAACACATCAGTAATCTCGAGGAGTGTGTCGCTAGTGTTACCAGGCCTCTATGAGTGAACAATGCTAGATGCTTGCATAATAATTGATATACAACAGCCAGTGGTATCTTAGAAAACTCTACTAAACTAACAGCCAATGATTTCTTACTTAAATAACTCTAACCACATTTAATCAGCCTGAATGGGTAAACAAATTTCTTCACGCAGATTAAGAAATATAAAACATTGCAGAAATTGGCACCATCACTCACACACCCCAAGCGGTAAACCTACACACTACGGAAGACTTATTTTAACATAAATTTTTTGAGGAACATTAAAATGAATGAATAAATAAACAGATTACGGGAAGAACTGTATGGGAGGAGTGGAACACCAGGATCGTCTCGAGCGTAGGAGCTGTATGGAGCCCCCGGGAGTCCGTCAGATCAGACGAAGGTGAAAATAATAAAACACATGACCAGATAACATTTCAGAATATATGTATAGAGGCTCTGAATTTGGCAGCTAACAAAATTATTATGTATAAACAACGAGGAAAACAAAAACACCAGAGGATCCAATCTTTTGGGACACTTCCCTAAACTCAGATCATAAAGTAATGCAGAGGAAGCAGCACAAAGAACCTCTTAAACCTTGAAGAAGAAGAGATTAGATTTGATGAAACAAGAGTGAGGAAGGCAGGAGTGTGACTGACCTGTGGAGTGTGCGCGTGGTTACTGGTTGTGCCGGCGCCTGGCGGTGCGGATACTGTACTCCAGCAGGTGGCAGACCTACATTCCACCGCCACAACACTTTCTCAGCGGTAAAATTGTGCTGGTCCATATTCCCTACTTAATGTGTATTCATTGGTATATTTCCCCTCTTCGTGAAAATATTTCTTTATCCTTACAGTCATCTACATTACTTCAACTTCCATGAAAATCCGTACATTTACTTTTATCTGACGAAATTACAAAAAAATTCCTAGACCACCAAGTTAAGGCCACGACACTAACAAACAAAACAAAACCACCAGCTCGCTATACGCACCTTAACCCAATACAACGCCTGACAACATGAAGCAGTGATGTTTATCATGCCCAAGGTGTTCTCAGCCTGGTAAGCTACGTATGCTGAGTTTGGAGTTGTGGTTAGAAAGGATGATTACTGACTAACCCTAGAACTGTTGGAACAATTTGTATGGCTGAAGCATTCTCCAACCCACCATTCGCCGCTCACCTGCCATCCCCAGACCTCTGTGACGTGCTACACTTTCTCAGTGACCCATCCCCGCTGTATAGTACTGCCATGGAGTATTCATCTCTTTATTCAAATTTACCGCCGGTTTTTTCATCGTGACTACTAACTGCAGCTCCACCTCTCCATTAAACCCTTCCTTACTTTGAAATGGTCAGTTTTCCATCACTATCATGTTGGGAATTAAGGGGGCCAACTTTCCATAATTAAACTATTGCAATATTTTCCTCTAATATGACTACTTTTTCTTCTATTTACGTCTTTATACTTCGTTTTGTATTTCCTACTTAACAGTATTGTTAATAAATATTTAAAAAATTATATATTGTAGTGTGTTTACGTTATAATTTGTAAAATATATTTAATATAGTTATCCATAAAACCACTTCTATAACGCAAAAAAGAAAATGGTATATATTGTCGGGGTCACTTACCTAGATCATGCTGGTGTTCTTAAACCCTTCAGTTAATCTAACTTTATATCTGTTGTCATGTATTTCATCTAGTTTTCCTTATAAAAATAGTTCAGTATATGTTCTTAGAGACAACTGTATACTGAGTAAGGTTTATGGTTAATGAAAATACTTATACGTAGTTGTATTTTCATTTCTTTATTAACATATAGTGCAGGAGGAAAAGGGGGAAAGGACTAGGATAAGAGAACTTGCATGTGAAAAATAGGGGAAGGGAGTAGATGGGGGGAGGAGAAGGAGAAAAAGGAAGAAAATGACTGATAGGAAAAGGTAGTTGGTGAGCAGTAGTGTCCTTACGTGTACTTGGAGCTGGCGGACGCTCGCCCCACAAGGGGTCACAGCTCAAGATTGAAGAAGCCGCAAGTCCAGAAAACCGTGAGGGTTGTAAACTCTTGGAACAATCTACCAGAGAGTGTTGTGACGGCACCGAGTGTGAGCTCTTTCAAGACAAGACTTGACCAACACTGGAGCGGGTTCAGGTACATTCAGGAGCCGGTGCATGCCCAGTATTTGCCAACAGTGCGTGAGAGACGTGACCGATCGCCCGGGCGGCGAGCGAGCCAATCTTTTGGTGAAAAAGATAAATGAAAAGGAAAAGTAATCAGAGACGTGACCGATCGCCCAAGCGGCTAACAAGCCGATCAGTGGCGAAGAGGATAAAAGTAAAAAAGTAAAAGTGAGAAACAGTGAAGCCGGAATCTTCGATCTCCAGAACTCTCCAATCGCTTCTTCTTTGTTTTTAATTCCGGGAAAATTTTTCAATTTCGGCCATGGGAAATGAATTTCTGGTTTTGCATTATGCACATTTCCGGAAATTTTTGAGAAAATCTCTCCGTTCCAGACATGGGAACGAATTTTCAAGATTGAATCGTGTTTCCAAAGCAGGAACCTGTGCCGGGTATGTGGATGGGTAGGCTGAAAAGTGCTCGTTAGCTACAATTGGTCGCCTCTGTCATGTGAATGCTTGGGATGCCTATGATTGTCCAATGTATCCCACAGTTTATCTCCTCAAACTCTTCACTCATGGTTCATTGTCTGCTGCCATTGTTTAAACTTGTTTGTTCGCTCACTGCTGTTTTGCATACAATCTGTATTGTGCAGTATTGTACATCACTGTATCAGCATATAATCAGCCAGGAATACCTTTAAAGCAGTGTTAAGAAATAAAGAGTGATTACCCTGTATGCATACATTCAAAAAGTGTGAAAGTACCATATGTACAGTACTGTATATAACAGTGGACAGTGTATGCTAGTGTGTAGAAGGTGTTGTATGGTATACAGTGTGTGTGTGTACAATCCATTCTACATGGAGGTAGAGGAGAGTGGCAGTTAGCAACACCTGGTACAGGACAAAGGCAGGCCATCATGTATCATATCACCATTTGGCCTGCCTGCATCACTAGCTCAAGAAGACAGCATCTGCTGGCAAGTACAGTACAGTATATACAAGTACAGTTGTAGTATACAGTACATTATTTTATTTATTTACAAAACAGTACTGTACTGTACATTGTACAGTGGTTTTAACTGGGTCGTGTGGGTCTGGAACAGTGAGTTTCTCTGATACAGTAGCGGTGTTCAGTCTAGTGTGTCAGGCTTATTTTGCAAGACAGAAACATAGAACTATGGAAAAAGGTGAAAATAATATAATTTTGAATATCACAATGAATAACAATTTATGGCTATACAGTGTACATATTTTTTAAACTTTGATGCACACCTTCTTGAAATGTAAATTTTTGTGCACTTAACACTATCACAAAGAATACTACAAATCATTATCATCAAAGGTTACTAAGAAATACATTAATTTTGATAGTTGTTATTATTTACAGGTACAATGTTTATTGTAGTCATTGATCTCAAATGTTTACCATTTTCCCTTTCTATGTTAAGTAGTGTAAGGACACAACCCCCCTTTTTCCCTTTGAACCAAGTTGTCTACATTTGCAAATTCAGCATTCACAAGCTTTTTAAGAATGTAACCATCACAAATATTGAGGGCCAACTGTACTACAGCATATATATAAAGGGTACCTCACAAATTATATTCAAATGACAATAAATAACTTCTCACTTTATAATTAAAGTGTCAGTAAAGATATACAGTAAATCAAAAATTCCACAAAGATAATAATTTCAGTCAGACTTCATTTGCACCAGCTTTCAAGAAAATCTTTGTAACCAAGTTTAAAGATTACCAGGAGTGAAAAAAAAAATTTCTTCACGTACATTAGATTGAACATGACTACAGGTTATTAGTAAATGTATATTACAGCTCATCTTTTAAAGGCATCTTCATACCAGCATTTGGATTTTGCAGCCAATACTTGTATGCTAACAGTGCTACATTCTTTGCTCCAATTATGCTCATCTCCATGGCACTTCCTGCCCATTCAATGGCATTCACATGATACATACCTGGTAGTAACTCAAAGTCTCCCAACTTTTGGTCTGAATCATAGTGTGGGTATGCTAACCAATCTATAACATTTGTTGAGTTACGCTTACTAAAAAATATATTTAACTGATCTTCTTCTAAAGGTGCTGATGAAAATATTTTCCACACATCTGGATTATCATAAGAGTAGTCATGAGCATCTACAGGACATTGCTTTCCAAAAGAATTAAACATGAGCTTTGGATTTGTCACTAAAATTTCATCAATTGCGTCATCTGGTGTTAATAGAAGACTTTCAGGCGTGACTTTTCCCTGTACCATTGTGCATATAATTCTTTCATAATGACCTGGAAAATCAAATTCCTTCGTAAAATTGACAAACTTGATATTGTTATTATCCTTGGTGAGAGGGGCTGCAATTACAACAATGTCATAGTCTTGACTCCGTAAATCCGAATCGGCAATATTTGATGGATTTTCCTCGGAAAAAACTCTTGAATCTGGGGTTTCTGTTTCACTGGAAGTAACCTGTTGAAGATAATTTACAATACTGTGGTTACTATACCTTACACAAAGTTATCTCATACTTTTACTTTTCATCCTCTTCACCACTGATCTTGCACAGGTGAAAACTCTCACAAGGTATTACCATAAAAGATTATGAAACAAGACCTTAGACAATGGGGAAAAAAAAAAAAAAATCCACCTGCCAAGTAACACCGTGTCAGGACTGGGGGGTAGCTTGGCGTGCTTGGTCATCATATAGTGAGGTGGTGTGAAATAAAGTAAGAAATAATATTGTCCAGGGAGATGTCAACCTCTGTATCTCTAATTAAATGACTCACATAGGTAAACCAAAGCTTCACAGAAAATTAAAGGCATTTATTATTAAGGGACTGATGCAAGACTTCCACAGTGTTTCAAATGCTTCAAGACTACAATTATCCACTAAGTTTCAAATTAACTGTTTTCCTTGCCATCATTTTTTACACGAGGATAACAGTAGAGAAATGTTTTTACAGAAAGGCAGGTGGTGGAACCTTACTTTATAATCAAATACCTCAAGAACAAATAATAAATGGCAACACTTGACTGACTCACCTTAAAATGTCCCTGGCCATTAGGAGTAATCTCAGCCACAAGACGTCTGAGATATGCAGCACGTGAGTGTTTGAGCAGTTCCTCGGCCACACGCTTATTACCCCCACGAACTGACCATAGTTGTGGGTCAGCAGCAGCCACAGCCACAGATCCTATAGAGATGCAATCTATTTACAGTATATGATTTTGTCTCACGAAGGAAGCATTTTATGCTGCATGCGAAGAGTGGAACTGGTCAACAACAAAAAGTGGGGTAATGTGGCAAGTTGTTGGGCTATGTTAAAGAACGGTCTATTAAGAGTGGCTGACAAGGCCTGTGGCTGGACAAAGTGCACAGACAGGAATGTAATAGAATGGTGGTGGAAAGAAGTAGACAGAGTGATGAAGGAGAAAAGAAAAAGATTGTATAAGGCATTGGATGATGGGTTGTGATAAAGAAAGTACCTGGAGGCCAAGAAGTGAGAACAAGATGCATTTGAAAATAAGGTGAATAGTGGAGATGACAGAGGTGAGGTATACATATCAGTAAGGTAAAAAGTGGGAAGAGAAAATGCTCAAAGTGAAAAGGGTGAATACTGGGTACCTACCTGACAACACTGAGTACCTGCTTACCTGACAACACTGAGAACCTTCATGACAAGAGTACCTACCTAACAACACTGATCATCACAAGATTCTATAATTGAGAGGGGATCATACACCAATACAGTATCCAAGATTAAGAATGTTAAGAAACTATTTCATTAAAACACAAGCATAATAAATCACATTGCACCTGCCAAATAACAAGTAGACATAGTTTTGCACTCGATCAATGAAGTCACCTTTTTTTTTATTTATTTATCAAACTTTAGCATCATCCTGCGCTAACCATCCCAAGAACCCATCACCACAACACTACTCACCAACAAAAGCATGCACGTCGGGAGTCTGTCCATAATTGCACAGAGTAACTGCTGTAATTAGTTCACTGATCATAAGGTCGTGGAAACCAAAACCCTTTAGCCATGCAGCTGAGGAATTATGTGTCATCTTGGAGAACATGGGATCCATATCATACAGCAAGGAGGTCACATTCTGGTAAGCGTGTCCTTCTGTCTGGAGAGTGTAAATCCTGAAATAAAATAAAATAAAAACTAAACAGCAATTAAAAAGTGAAGTTCTGGGTAGCAACTAGAATTTGTTTATTGGCATCATTATTATTACACTGTATTATAATTATTATTATTATAATTACTGTACAGTACCGTACTGTATTACATTATTGTTATTACTGTATTGTATTATTATTATTATTAATATAGCATTATGTACATGTGTGAGAGCTTGGAGATACAGTACTGGCCAAGTTGCTTGTTACTACAGTAGATATGTCTGACAATATGCAATTCATTTACACTAAACACAGAGAATGTCAAACTGTATTTACTCTGATGAAAAACTTCATATACTGTACTAAGAATATTTTTATCTTTTACATTTCATTAAACTCATAATGGTTAAGGCATACAGTATCTAGAAATACTTGTACCGTATGTAATAAGTACACATCATAATCAGCCATACACAAACATATTCATAAATTCCATTAAGTAAATTTCTAACAATATCATGAAACATTAAAAAATGTCAAGTACAGTACTGTAATGTAATGCACTAAAACATTTTCTAAGTTGGGTAGTTCTTTAAAACTCCTGTGCTGTACAGTATCTATATGTAAAGGTCAAGTATCAACTCGTGCCAAGGCCAACTTGTCCCCAACCAATTCATACACATTCCTGGCTAGAGGCATAACATATAAATAGGCTGCTAGTACTAGTGATCTATGTCACGTGCAGGTAATTTATCTCTAAATTAAGGGACCTAGTCTTTCTCAAAACCATTGATCTCAGGTAAAGACTACTTAACTCAAGAGCTTTAAAGACTAGCTGTCCTATAACTTTATCACACAACAAAATACTTCCTTCTTTAAAAGGAGAAAATCTGCCTTTCTCTGAAATGTGAAGGACAGATACTGAAATTCCACCCTTAAAACTAAAAAACTGAGTCTAGGCTCAACTGCACCTGTGTCCAGCTCTTCAGCATCCCTACAGAGCATAAAGTGATCCGAGTTCTCTGATCCAAGTTCATTATAAAATGAAATTACAGTATTAATCCCTCATTTTTAAGTCAGTGGATATGGCAACTTACGTACAGGTACAATCAGCACTAGATATACAGTACTTCGGAGAAAATTAGGTACAGCATATCATGAAAACTCACAAAGCTGTTATACCTTTTACAACTGCAATAACCTACATACAAACTGTTGTACAATAAAGGGCTTGTCTCACACACACTATTTCATAAATCTACTTCTCTACAAAGAATTAAACTAAAAATTCTATAATCTTAAAATATTTATAAACTGTCTTACCTGGCAAAGTTTGTCAGCATTTCGTCTGTCAACTGTTTAAGACGATACACATCCCACCCATACCTCCAGAGGAGTTTGACAAAGTTGACAAACTTGTAAGAGTCATCTCGGTACACATACTCTTCACCGTTAAACAACCCCACATTTCCAGAGCAGGCACGGCTTTTTTGCAAGCCTGAAACATTAATTAGTTGGCTTAACACGGAATAATAATAATAATAAAGAGTATAACAAAATGAGGGCCCATGTGAACAGATCATAATAGTACACCAGAAAGATATGGGTGTGCGTGGGTTAATGAAAAATGAAAAGTTTGTTATGTACTACAAGTACTTACTGAAAGACACATGTAAACAAATATTTAAAGTAAAATTTATAAGGCTTTACCTCAATACAGATCTCTAACACCTACAATCATCTCTGTAACTTATACTACAAGCACAAAATCAAACACTTACCAAATTTTGATGTAAAATCCACCATGTACTGATTCTTGGGGTGTATGATACTGCCACCAACCTCATAGTTGTATCCAGCTATTGGAAGTGTGGCCAAACGTCCCCCAATTGCCCCTGACTCATAGAGGTCAATGATGGCATTGTCTTCAAACAGCTCCTTAAGAAAGTAAGCTGTTGATGTACCTCCTATACCACCTCCAATAATTGCTGTATGAAAAAAAATATAAATATATATTTACTGTATATGTATAGGTCCTGAATTATTTTTACGATAAAACAATAGGAAAGCACCCCGTAAATTAAGTAGAAAATGCTTGCCTAATGTGGGGGTGATATGTGATAATTTATGGAGTCTTTGGTGTTTGATCCTAAGGTCCATTGTAGCCATAAGTCACTTGTTACCTCATAATATTCTCAAATTCACCACAAAGTCAGCCCCAAAAGCATTCAAACTAGAGGGTTTCTATTGTATATGAAGACAATGTGAGACTCATGTCTGTACCAAAAAAAGGTATGGCTGATCTGAATGATTTGGTTCTGCAATGCCAAAAGGAATGTGCATTGCTGGTGTGATGTTACGACTCATTAGCCTTTAACCTTGACGGACCATTGTTGCTTATAATACAGTACCCATTTTTAAAAGCTAAGGTTGCTTTTTGAAGGTACAGTATAACTAATAGATGTACAGTACAGTATATACTATTCCCAGCCATTAATGATGAGAAGGTTCCTGGGTTTCAACACTGAAATATTACACAATTCTCTCTGGACAATTCAGCCACAGACAACAATACAGGTTAATAGTCACCTATTTTTGGAGGGGCTGTATCAAAGCCACTAACATCCCGTAGGGCCTTTGATGTCCTCACTTGTGTCAGCAGCCCCAGTAAGCAAAGATTCCAAACTTGAAGCATATTTCAGTTATTTCTGCAGCAAAGAAAATGAGAGAATATCAGATTTTTGTGATGTAAAAAAAAGAAAAGAAAAAAGAAAAGCAAAACAAAATTAAAAGAGAATACATATCACTAAATATTTTTAATAAAGTCACTGGCACTAACCACAAGAAATACCAAAAAGTTAATATGACACAATAGTAAAAGGTTTAGTAATAACAGTGGTGCAACATATTGATATACTGTACTGTGCAGAACAATTACTTCAGTGATAAGAAATATAAATATTGTACCTAACTATGCTATTCTGCATTATATGTTACTGTACTGCACTATTCCCTTTGAGAACAGTTACACTAGGTGAAGAAAGACTAACTACTGTATAAGCTTAGTCAAAACACTCCACCATCAGGTAGTCGGATTGACCCCGATGCTCAGTGAGTCGGTGTATGCTTGAGGGCCGTCCACAAAAAAACATAAAATTACACCATATCATAGTAAGTTCTTTCTGTTTAATATACCTGAGGGTCCTGGGGATGGAGCCCCATGGTTAGGTTGGTGCTCTTCTAACAACTCCTATGCTACTTGATTTTCTTTTTAATAAGGTTAGGTTTTGTTTAATTTAGAAATAAACACTTTAACACATTTGCACAAACTATGTCAGTGTCCACTATAAAACAAAGTGAAATTGCAGCATTTTTTTAATAATTTTTGATGAAAAATTGGCGGCGGGTCAGTCGTTAATAATTATCCGATGAACTTAACCATGAAGTGTGTAAGTTGTGGAACACTGAAACCTATGACAGTGGTGAGATGACAGTAAGTAATAAAAATGGGTAAATTTTTACAAGTGGACAACCACGGCTAATTGGCGGCAAAAATCAGGGTCACATTCCTTCTAATCACAACAAAAAACATCAGAAAAACACATTGCTCAGCAACCAAAAAGCAACAAAAGTTCTGTGCATTGCTGTAATTTTTTTTACTTACTATCATCCAAAGAACATTTGTGGAAAAATGAACGAAATCGAATGTGTTCTGGTGCTAGCCATCTGCTCCAGGATTATCATGTCATGACCTCTACCAAATCCTAACGAAATAAAATTTGAAGTAGAGTTCCTTTTCGAGATAACTCCATCAAAGGCATTTCGTCTTATTAATTCTCCTCAATTAGTAGAGTCTTACTTCCCTTTCTCTTCCCCGCAATGTTGCTTCACTCTCTCTTTTACGGGTACTACTTTAACGGGCAATGTTCGGTGGATTTGGCATCCTGCGTACCGCTGGCAAGGTCGTGGGCTGGTAACACACGTCCTGTCCACAGTTTCTCTGTGGATGTCGGTCACACTAGAATAACCCGTTATAGTACATCCTTCTTTCCTCACACAGCCAAACTGTGGAATGCTCTGCCCTCTTGTGCTTGCACACTCATACAATCTGTCTCGCTTTAAAAAGCTGGTTTTCCAGCATCTTCATGGTGTAGATTAATATAACCTTTTCCATTTCTATCTTTAATTTCTTTTTATTGTTATTTTTTTCTCCCCCCAGGTGGGACGATGACCTGTGCCTGGGTGGGCTATTCCCCGTAAAAAAAAAATCTAAAAAATAAAAATAAAAATAAAATAAAATAAATAAAAATAAATCAGTACAGTACCTTCTTGAATTGTACAACACAACCCTACAAGAGTACCGGCAATCACTATCAAGCTTGCTTGGACTGGGTGGTGCTCCTTCTCTACACATTTATCAGATATTCATCGTAAAATCCTGATACAGTAATTGTATTGGTTAGCTCCTTTCTTAAACTTTATCAGGAGGTGTATGAGGTTCAGTAATCACGTGACAGTGGTTAATTATCTTGATGCAGCCTTAATAAACCAATAGTTACAACCACCTTCTCTTATTACACTGTCGCCCTTCTTCCACTGATCGACTCGCTCACTGCAGCATGATCACTTGTTCGAAGCTGTTCAATATGATTGCGAACAAAAGTAAAGTATTTATTTTTCATAATTCACTCAAAATTTATCAGAATACCAACTTAAGCAAAACTTTGAATGCTAAATACATATGCGGGACTGTTTATGAATATATGTACTAAGAAAAAGAGAGAATTTTATAAGTTTCACCTTGTACAGTAACACAATCGAAGACATTGTTTATACCAAGGAATACAGAGGAAGATTGAGTTATCCCTTAACACCTATTATCTTCTTGGTGACCTCTGAATGACCCGCTACCTGTGAAGAATACCACATCATAAAGAACACTTTGGTCACATGGTTAACTAGTAAAAAAATAAAGTTCTTCACACGCATTTGTGTTTTTATTCATAGTCGTATATTTATTTATGCTTCATTTTATATTTGACTAATTAAATCAATAATTATTTAGATTTTTTTATGTTTACCGATGAACAACAGTGTTAAAGGGATAAAGGGTTAGAGCACCAGCAGGGGCTACAGGCGGCCTCAGAGCGCGTGCGCACAACGACACTCGACGGAGGCTCAGTGTGGCAGGCTTTAGCTGGCTCAGGAGATTGTTCATTGGTGCCCTCATTTTTTCCTCGTCCTGGACGTATGCCAAGTTTTTTCTCTTGATCACTAACCTCCAAAGGTGAGTATAGAGACAGGCATTGTATAGGTAACAGAAAATTTGTTGGCAAGAAGATGATGATAAAGTTTTTAGCTTGGTGAGTTCCCTGGTCGTTGTGGGGGAGCTGGAGACGCGCTGCCTTTTGCTGACCTTGTGTTCCTTAGAAATGGTGTAATATATCGTGTTCACTCACTCGACATGTCACCAGTGTTTTTTGTGTTTATATATTGTTATAATATTTGTTGTGGAGTATTTAAACGAGGTTTTGGTGATTTTTCCTCAAAATATCTAATGGGGTTGCCAGATATGGCTACTGCAAGAACAATACCTCGTTTTTACGAAACTTCATTTTAAGTGTAGCTACTTATTATATTGGATTTTGTTGTTTGAAGCATGTTTTGTGTTATATTTAGTGATAGTTAAAAGGGTGGCTTACATGTTAGTATGGAAAGAGTGGTGGTGAGTGACCTTGTGGCCGCCACACGTTTACCGCAACATTAACAAAGGCTGAGGTAGCCATCAACTGACACGGCTCAACTTAACTAACTAGGTATTCTTTTTCACCACCAGTGCGCGAACATGTTTATATCCTCAAAAATATTGGAACTAGAATCTTAATCAAATGACTAAGCTTTGGAAGTTTAATAAATTTTAATACAGTGCTAGGGTATACATTACTAGCTCATACAGAAAGGTAAAAGTTATCACGTTTAGGCTAAAAACTATTAGGATTTTTCCCTTGAACAATTTCCCCTAAACACCAGTCATTGTGCCTTTGATACAGTAACAAGCATTGCTGCAATTTGTATTTATTTCGTATTGGATATTTTGTCATGATCAGCCAAGTTCCTACCAATGCTATTTTACCGTGAGAGCACTTTGTTTGGCTTAGTACTTTCTGTTTAATAGACCCCCCCCCACCTGCTAGGAAGTTAGTTAAGGTTAGGTAGGTTTTTTTGGTTGGCTAGGTCAGGTTCTATTAGGTTGTAGTAAATATTGCATCTTTTATAATGATAAGCTTCCATACACAACAGAAATATTGTAAGGTATGTTTACAGCTACACAATGATCGACTCTGGGCAAAATAAATGCCAAATACTGCCAGTCATGGTCAAATATAGTTATGTTATTCGCCAGTAATGGACAATTAGCTAATCAGCACACTCACGGTAAAGTAACATTAGTGGAAACTTACCGGTTTAACTTATGCTGGAAGGATGTTTACCAGGAAAAATTCCCCTTTTTCTTGGAGGCTATTTCTCGGGTCCAAACCTTTAGCTTATACAACATTGCATAAGAAACTTCATTGCAATTTCAAGAAATGCTTAGTTGTGAAGCTGTCTGAAGTATATACCGTATTACTACAGTATATATATATATATATATATATATATATATATATATATATATATATATATATATATATATATATATATATATATATATATATATATATTTTGCTGGCTTGTGGTGGGTCACCTAGTTGACACTTCACCAAGAATGTTAATAGGCACATTGCATCATACAGAACTGTTTTGTGCAATTTCTTAATCGTGTTCTTTTTCTGGAAATAGGTAGCATAGGTTACATAGTACTGACCATGTACTGTACCTATAAATGGAGATGGGATGGCAGACCAAGGGTTGAACAGCCCTGATTTAAGGAAAGAAAATCCAGTATTCAGGGTGATGAATTTAGAAAACAGGTGCATCTTGCAACTAAGACTTGCTTTAAGCCTGTACTTTGTTAGTAATAGTATGCCAGTTGTAAATTAAAACTCATATTCCAGTATTTTTATTTATTTTTTGTATTTGCAGTTTCATCATTGATATGTTAAACACTTTTCAGGTTTACTAAACATGAGTGAGTCACCTCGACGTAGTGTCAACAATGGCACTTCACCGCTTCATGAAAGGTCCCGAGACCCTTCCTTCTCCCGCTCAAGGTGAGAGTACAGTAGTGTTAGGACTGTTCCATGTGTTAGTGATAATCATTTACCATCTTCAGCTGAAAAGTGGGAGAAATTCATCATGATGCACTGGAAAGTGGGTTTACTATCTTGCCAGAGGGTGAGGGTCATCACGTACCCAAGAAGGTTAACTCGTACCCACGCCAACTCGCACCCAACTCACGAGATACGTCACACCCAAGATTACTTACACCCAATTCAAGAGATAATCTATACCTATCAGTATACAGTATATACCGTGCATTTTAGCTTTATCTGATTAAAAATTAAAAAATGTAAATCTTGTAGGAAGGTGCAGTGAAATGTAATGCAGGCTTTATAAGTGGTTGCATCTCATAACATAAGTACAGTATGTTATTCCGTTTTACAAACTTTGCACTACAAATACATATTTCACACTTATGTGGTTTAGAATGACTTTATTGCAATTTACAGATTTCAGGCTAATAGATTTGGCAGTTTCAATTTATAAACTTGGCGATGTAAATGTTTAAAATGGTCATACATATAGACATGGATGATTCTAGATGGGGTGTGCCCATTTTGTCACCACTGTTTTTACCCGCTTCATCACCACGTTCATTCCCATCACCATTTCAAGGGTAATACATTCCTGAAAATTCTTGCATAATTAATACATCAATGTACTGTATACAGGTACACGTAAATTTAACTAAATTTGCCCAAATAACTGTTGCTTGAGATATAAAATTATCAAAACACCTAGTTTACAAAATTGTATTACGAAATTATGCCTCGGCATAACAATACATTGGATCACTCAAGCATCTCACTAAGACAATTTATTAAAGATGAAAAAAAAAAGTTACTACAGTTCCAGTATATGAAATGTTAACCAAAACTGAGGGTAATGACCACCACAATGATAACACCATTTGGTCAGTTATATCTCACCTTTTGTAACAAATGAGACAACACTATAGAGAAAATTAGAACAATCAAAGACTAATAATAAACGAGTCCAACTCAGTCCTTAGTGTATCCTTTTATTACCTATTATCATTTATTTATACAGTATACAGTACTGTACGTATATAAAGTTTGAAATTTATACCAGCCGGATAATGAAAATGTCCCCCATCCGTCAAGATAGGCCGTTCGGTGCAACCTTATCAAGTTAAATATCTACTCATGTTCATCCTGTTGTGTGTGATAAAGTTATTCACATCCTTTATATCCCTGGAGTTTCTATATAGCTTGTCAGGATGATGCTTGGTGAAACTCGGTCTAACTTTTTCAGCTCCATATATTACTATTCTCAGCTGTACATATTTGATGATTATGTTAGCCAATTATACATTTATACTTTTCAGTTCTCTTAATATATCTCTGCAGTACTTTATTAAAAAAATTCATATTCTGGTTTGTCTGAAATATATTAGTGATTACAGAAAACAACTCATGGTTGTTGTTCAGGAATTGAATAACAAAGAATATTATATGATCATCATATAATGGTTGTAACAAGTTCTTGGTGGTGGTGCATACTACTAATACTGTACTGTACAGGTGACACCCAGTTTCATGATACAGGTTGAGAATGTGGTGCTGGCAATAATTACACTAATTTTACTACAGTTCTTGGTTTTCTTTTTCAATAAAGTAACAGTTTTATATAGGTTTAATGTAAGGCATTGCCCATGCCATGTTGCCAATGCACATATGACTGCTAATGTTTCAGAAAGTTCACTTTGTATATGCACATATGATATATAATGTTTTTTTATGTTTGTGTATACTACAGGTAAAAGTGTTTTTAATCCTCTTTAGAATAAAGTGGTAATGTGTGAAGAAGTAATCATCTTGTCACTGTAATAGTATTAACATCTTAGGAGTTGGTTCATGGAGTCATGATGCGCACATTATCCAGGGTTACTTTACTGAACTGTAGTAAAATAAATTAAAAATATATAGGTTACAGATAACTAATTGTTTGGAGAAATGGCTGTTGCATCTTCTGGTAAATAAATTTTTGGTGTTGGTATGTACTGTAGTGTCATGGATGTCATGACTGAATGGTTTTGTAAGAAGTAAGTTTTCCCAGTATTACTGTATTAAATGGCAGCTGTTACAGCTTCCATGTGATTTTATATTTTACAACAGATCGAGATCAGTAGAACGTCGAGATAGCTACAAACACTCCTCTCGGAGGTCTGGATCACCAAAATATCGCGAGGATCGATACCGCGATGACAAATATTCCTCCTCGTCACGCCGTCGATACTCTCGCTCACCTTCATACTCAAGAAACCGTCGGAGCAACAGGTATGCTGGGGTTGAAATTTAGTGTTATTGATGTGGGCCACATGTGTTCACCCCAACACTAATGAGTTTTATATAGCTAGTTAGTCAGGGCAAAATCCGTTTATTGATCGTGCAAGTTCTTAACTTTGTTTTGTATTTGTAAATTTTCATTAGTGTCACTATTAAAGGTGTTGCATGCAGACTTGCTTAATCAATTTGAATAACCTGTGAGGATTTGGATGGGAATTCTTAAATTTCATGTGCATTTTATTAATCTTTTTCTTCTAATTGTTGAATTTCAGTTGTCGTTCTACTCCCATCAGTTATAGGTGTTGGTAAATAGGGCTCGGATAAATTTGGTGATTTTTCTGATTCTTAGGTCTCAATCAAGGTCACCTATGTCAAATCGCCGGCGCCATCATGGAGATCGGGAAGACCCCAGCCCAAGTACTTGCCTGGGCATATTTGGACTGAGCCTCTATACTACAGAGAGGCAGGTGAGGAATTGCCTTCTAGTCTCTAGTGTTGTCCTACTCAGTATTTATAAAGCTGTATTGTAGTACCAACCGTGGGACCGGCTCTCACCCGGATAAAGGAAATTACCATTATTTAGAAGTTAGTATTTCTCATGTACTTATAATAGGTTACTAATACACTGCTGCCGCTTATTCACACCTCCAACAATAGTTTTATATTTTTCATTTTTTTTTTACGTTTAGGAGCCATGTGCGGTTCAATAAAGGTAGAATAAAACTGTGTAGCACTTAAATAAGCACATTGCCACCCTTAGCTGGGAATTCAAACAAACTAACTGAATAGTCGGAGCATTTGGTGCACCACTAAAACATTAGCAGCTAACCGGTGAAATTACGAGATGCTGTCGTTCAACGGGAGGTTTGTTGGATAAAGGATTTTTCAAAAACATTGCTATTTTCGGGGGATTTGCCAGATATGGGAGCTTCATCCTGTATTTATAAAGATAGCATGAAGTTGTAATTTGCATCCACAATGGCAAATAAAACAATGCTAAAGATTCACCACTACTATTAATTGGTGCTTGTAGCACGACGTGCTTCTTGTCATTTGCTCCCAGATGGCGAGTAAAATGTTTCAATGTTTAGCTTATCCCTCTTAGACATTCAACCATTTTTTTGTGGACACTTCATCTCAAATTAGATAAAAGTGTATTAGTGTGTTTGATGAGGCAAAACCAGCTACGAAAAACCTGTACACATACAGGAAACAGCAACCAATGAACATGGCAAAGGGAAATGAGAATACAATACAGTATTTGTCTAGTCAAAACAACCACCAATTAAAGGAAGAAATCACAGGAAGATCCGTGGAGAGGAAACATATGACATTTTAAAAAGTTTTTCTAGTCCTCAGAGAGACGGATGTCCTATGTTAGGTGAACTTGTGGCATTCGGGATTTTCCGGAAAATTCCGGCTTTGGGAACGATTTTCCGAGGGGCACATTTTCTGGAAAATTCCGGGGACGGTGGATTTTTTTCTGGGTACGAGAGTCGTCTCGTTACCTGGAAATGTCTCATTCCCTGGAACTGCTCTGCACCAATTGTTCCAGGTAACGGAGATATCACTGTGTGTGTGTGTGTGTGTACACCTAGACCCCGACTTACGACTACGTGGACTTACGACCGTCGGGACTTACGACCGCCTCAGATATAGATAAAAAAAAAAAAATTAAAATGACACACGCATTTTCTATACCGAAATGTTTCCAGTTAATGTAGTTTCCATGTATAATTAGAAAATTATGGGGGCCCCATGTGCATTCAGCTGACTACATTAAAGGTTAAGTGCTCAGTCACACTGTATCCATTCCTTATTATTTATTACTTTCACTGTACTGTATTTCATTGTAGATTTTTTATTAAAAAAAAAAAAAATTTTTATTTTTTTATTTTTTTTTATCTATGTCGGACTTACGACCTGGATTTGGGTCCCTAACCCCGTCGTAAGTCGGGGTCTAGGTGTATACAGTATTTATTTATTTATTTATTTAAATTTAGCTTGAATGCAAACTATCACCCTTTTAAGTTTCTTCAGGTATAAGTACAAGTGATAACACAAGGTGAGCGGTCCTAGTTGTGATGAGACAAATAATGATGATTAGGTTGACTGGTACCAACACTTCACATGGTCCCAGCTCTAGGTTATACTGTACACCAGTTGTCTTACTACCTAAAGTGGTGTTTGAGGGACATACACTTTTAGTTTGGGTTGTGGAAGTAAATGATTATCATTCATGAGTATGGTGCCATCATGGCAGTTACAGGCAGTCACAAGTACTGCACCTACAGTGATAGATTGATACTGAAATCTCATTTTATGGCTGATCCTGGATGAAACTTCCCCTCTCCTCAGGAGTTGGGTAAAGCTTGTCAGGACAGATTGGACTTTGAATGGTGAGTGCATTGCTAGAGTGAGGCCAAGACCCGTCATCCTCTGGATTTTAAGTGACAACCTTTTGTATTAAATTTCCCTGTACGGTATTTAGGATGGTGGTTACAACGGCAGGTAAGTCGATCATTGAATTTGCTTCCAGACACCAGTGGTGAGGGTTTATTTCCGACGTGACGAAACTTCAGGAATAAAGATCCATCTCTTAGTTGTCTTCCCTACACTACAGGGTACCCCAAATATGTTAATGCTGTACCACCAACACCCTCTTTGTTCCCACCTTCCTACAGAACAGTTGGAAAGGGCTTCTATGAAGGGAAAATTGTACTACACTGTATTATACAATAGTTGTAACAATTTGTTTTCCCTTCTTTTTCAGCTTCATCATCTTTTTGGCAAGTACGGCCCATTAAACAAAGTCCAAGTTGTTCTTGATGCAAAGGTAAGTTTATTATAAAGTGGTTTTGGAATAGATGAATCATTATTCATGTCATAGAGGTCTAGTCTAATCTAGTCAAAATAAATATAATTAAAGGTACTGTAGTATAGTGTGGGGTGTTGCAATATCACGAGGGATTGAAAGACAGATTCTATTTCAGAGACGAGAGGATTACAGCTGAAAGCATTTTTGTATATTTCAGACTAGTCGCTCTCGAGGGTTTGCATTTATCTACTTTGAGCACGTAGAGGATGCCACAGAGGCTAAAGAACAGTGCACTGGGATGGAGATTGATGGTCGACGCATCAGAGTAGACTATTCCATCACGGAACGAGCTCATACACCTACCCCTGGTATTTACATGGGTAGACCCACATAGTAAGTGTAACTTTTCTTTTCCCTTGCTAGGTGTAAGGAGGATTTTGACACCAAATTCTTGTGCCACAACAGATGAACAGGTGTACAACCCCTGCTTGTGTTTTCTCTCCATTCCATAGACCGGCCAACATAAACCAAACACATCATTCTCACCTTAGATTTTGTTGCATATTTTTATATTTAGATCATTACTGTGTCATAGTAAAGTCATAGGTGTAGTATAAGTGAAAATGGTAGTTTTAAGTACTGCACTGTGTCAGAGTACCAAATGTAGATATTTTACTTTAGCATTTGTACTGCATATCATTACAATGTATTTACCAAGTGTGCATCTTTATCCAATGCTCTTGCTTTAACCTCATACTTTACCATTCATGAAACTATCTAACATTTTGGGGGATATTACACATCATTGACTTGGTGATACTAACAAAAGGAACCTGACACAGTGTAACACATGATTCACTCTCCTTTGAAGTACTCTTACAGCATTCAGAGTTTTTTTCATACACTGTACTGTACTGTACACTATTTTCAGTTCCTCTGACTTTGCTTTTCTGTCAAGTTAGTCTTGTGCATTCTCAGATCCCTAGATGTTACAAAGAAGATCTTGCCTTTGAGAACCCATTCTCTCAAGCTTTTTAATGCAAACACTTATTTTCTTTTGATACCGGTATGTTAAATTAAAATAATTTATAGAGTTGATCCCCAGGTGATGACAACCAACCACTCACTCTTGCTTGTAGCTCATATTATTTTCTATTTTAATTTGTCCTTTTCTCACATCTGGTAGCTCATGGTTGTGTGTCAGAACACAGACACATACCCGGTACACTTGAAACCTGATGAAGTTGTTTACTCACAAATATATGTTGGCTTGTTGTGTCATTCTCCATGTTTTTTATATATAACATCAAATCTGAAATGGAATATTGTCTTCAGTTCTGGATACGGAAGGCGTGGGGGTGGCGGCGGCGGAGGCGGTGGTGGTGGCGGCGGTGGCGGCGGCGGTGGTGGCGGTGGCCGTTACAGTGGAGGCTACGGTGGTCGCCGCCGCTCTCCCTCACCTTACCACAGAGGACCTCCTCAGCGACGGTCATACCGCTCACGGTCGAGATCATATTCCCCACGTAAGTAAACCTATATACACGTATCATTCTACCCTCTGTTATTTCTGCTCTTGTCTGGTTTAGGTTTCCTCTTGTCTTAGTTTTCTATTCTTTGCTGATCTGTTTTTGTTCCCTTATTTTCAATTCATATTTCTTGATGTGTTCATATCTTCTACAGTATTATTCTTCCCTCCTGTATGATATGTGATATGAATATACTATATTACAATTGACAGAGAGAGTGAAAGTGTTAGACATCTGAGTGGTAAGTAGATCATTAAAACTAAGTTTTATTTTTCTTCAATTTTGTTTACATATTTTTCATACATAAATGAGATAGGTCATATGATGAAAGCTCATGTCTGTACCCTGAATTTACTTCAAAAATTTTATTTAATGGTTCCAAGAAAATTTTTTATTTCATTCATTTTTAATGTTTGTTCCAAAACATTGGTCTTTGGAAGTAAGAATCTTCCTTATCCCAGATATTTTATGACTACCCCTCAACCTGATCATCTTCAACAATCTTCCACATGTGTTCATGCATTTAATTTTTTTGGTGAAACAGTCACATCCATGCAAAACAGTTTGTGCAAGGTGCCAGTGTGATATACTGTAAGTGAGAGCAGAAAAGGTGATTGAAAGTAACTTCAGAGTTTTCTCTTGGTTCAAGCCACCTTGTATCATGAAAGAAATTTTGCAAGGGGGGCAGAGAAAATCAATATCTCATCAGAAACCCAACCGTTGGATCAACACTGGTGTGTGAGGAGTAGTGGTTGTGATTCTTCAAAAGTGTTGGGCATAGCTTATCCCTAGTTTTGAAGGAAACTAGATAAATTGCAGCATAATCAGCTCACTGAGTCTACATGGAAGTTTGAGAGAATAGTAATCATATTTTAATTAAGTTTGCAAGAATGTCAAAGGCAAATACCAGAAAGATTAATTTTTTTTTTCTAAAGAATAGGACAACCTTACTTGACAGTTACTATGAATTGAGATGACTGGGGCTTGTGGTTGAATGTTTGTTTTAGCAATTTTTAGTAATGATGCACAGACAAAGAACTGTTAAGAAGTAATGCAAGGAAGGATGTGTGGAACCCTTTGAGCATTGATTAATAGGAAGTTTTGAGTACAGTATACAAAGAAACTTATTATCACGGCCCTCTTGCAGCTGTGTACCATAATATCCCTCTGATGTTACCGTGTCCTTTGATCACCCTACACAACACTAGGAGCAATACATCAGATCAGCGCTGCTTTTAACTGGGATGGGAGAAAGCGCGGTTTATATTATAATTATTATTATTTTCTTCCTTCATTGTCTTTGTTAGTTGTGAAATGTTAACTAATTTTAATGTGGTTTTGAAATACTTTCAAATTTAATTTACTATGGATTTGAAGGGTTTATTACTTTTTTCTGGTGCAGGGGACAAGAATTTTCCTTAACCCCACAGATTTTCACTTATCTGACTTTGTTTGTGGGATATAAATCTGGGTAGAAAAATAATAGGAGGGATGGGGCTTATGATGTACATTTGTGGAAATGTGTTCCTACACCCCCCTGTGGTAACCTGCGTCTTCAAACGGCCAACCTATAGCAAACCTTTCCATCAATCACGCCCGCCATTACACGATCAATACTCATTCATTCGTGAATAGTGATACTACTACTGCGACGTTGCCGTCTGGAGACACTGGTTACCACGGGTTGTAGGAACACATTTCCGCCACTGTACCAGAGTAACGTACTGTACTGTGTCACTCTAGTCTGGTTACTGTTGAGAGTTTCCTCCCAGCCCTCACTGGGGTACTTCTTGAAATCAACAAGAGTATAGAGGGGTTGCACATGATGTCACATATCAGCTGACGGTTTGTTTGTGGACAGCAGGTAGTACCACATCATCAGCAATATATCTTTTCACCACATACTAATACAAATATTTCACTGATGTTCTGTTTAATACACAGACATAAAAGCAAAAATCCAGGGAATATAATCTTAATGTTTCCCAACAAATAGATAAAAACAGACGTGGTGGATACCAGAAATAAGCCGAAAAAGATGGATGTCGACTGCACTTACAAGGCTTTTTGAGGTTAGTACAGTGCGGTAGCTATTGACCATAAACAAAGTGAAAATAGTTTACCCTTTCAGGTATGTCATCATACATTAATCTGAAAGGGAGATTATTATACGACAACAAAAAATGTCTGAAAGTTGTTGAAATAACTTTTCCAGTTAGTGATGTTTACACAATTAATGAAAGTGTTGGGCACTTGTTAGTTAATTTTCTTTAATGTTTTATTATTATTAATTACCACAAATTAATTGGTTGGTGTTAAGTGATCAGTAACCCAACCACTTTTCCTAAAATTATCACCATTACATGGAAATTTTCCACACTTTGTGGGATAGCCATAATTACCTGATGGCAGCTGTCCAAGCTGCCATAGTTTCTTGCAGGCTCTCCAATTCATTCTTGACCAACCCCTGGCTCTCCTCTTCTCCATATTCAAAGCCATGCACCTCATGACCCAATTTGTCTCTTCCATTCACCTTTCCGTCAGTTAAATGGTGTGATCTTTTCATTCCAATTCTGTTGATATGATAAATGAGAAATGTTATTTTAAAAATATTTAGATTTCAAGTACAGTATATATCTTCACCATGAGGTAGGAAAGTGGTGGAAGTGATTCCATATGGAGAAGATGTGTCTCTTCTATTTCTTTACACACACACACAGGAAGTCCTCGATATACAGAATATCACACGTACAGAAATTTTATTTTAGTACCAGGTTTGTTATACAGCCAAAAATTACGTAGTTGTGGGAATTTTTTAGGAAACGGTAAGTATATAAAATGCCGTACAAGCCCACAAAAATGTATTCAAATTAAACTCCATAGATAAAAAAAGAAGCACCTTGAGTTGAAATTTCCATCAATACCTTCATCACTGCATGTCGTCAGCTGTGAGTTTGTTTACAAGAATGAAAGACGAGTGAACCATACCTACTTATATTAAAACAACTGTAATTGTTCATTGTTTTTCACGGTGTACAGATATTATTATATATACCTATGGTAGATTTAGGAGGGTAAATGTTCAGGTCTAGGAAGCAAACAGTTATGGGCAGTTACTATTACGTATTATTCTAATATCCTGCTTTTATGTAACTTCAATATGAGGCATTAGAAAAGGTTGTTGACTTTCTTCATATATTAACAGATAAGTTATAAGCCACTGTGTAAGCTTTCCAATTGCAGATAAATCCTGTATGAAGAAAAATTTTGAAAGAGTGTGTGTGTGTGGGGCAACAATGTTTGTTAATGGTAATATACACTGTTGCTCTAAGGTAAATATTTTCTGATATTCAGAAATCATAGCAAGTTATGAATCACACTGAGTCAATGTATACATGTTAGTAAATTATGTCAAACTCTTTCGTCTAATAACATAGTATCGCAAATGGCAGCTCCACTCCGGACGGGGGAGCAAGTCCACGAGTCGGTCGGGACACGGCTTGCGCACGCCACTCACGGGTCACGCCAGTCGATGTGTGGGAGAGACGTTGCTCCCACCACTTCACAACTTTTACAATGCTGTACAATTATTTATGTAATTTATTGCCTCCAGTACTATATGATATATAAAAATGTATTAAAATATTTTTTATTTAAATGTGTTTAAAAGGGTTAAAAATTATGTATATTATGAAGTTTTGGGTTGGAAATTTTTTCTGTAAGAATGCATCTCTCATATAATGGGACTCGATGGGAATACATTTTAGGAACATACCCCTTCTGTTAATCGAGGACTTCCTTTATATAGTTTTTTTCCCCTCTCTTTCCATACTTATGCCTCCTTTTACTTTGTCTTTGTACTTAATTTGTTATTTAAGTTTCTGTCTTTTCAGTGTTTGGACAAAATTTTTTTCCAAAATAGTAACTGGCCAGGTCACCAACACTTAGACAGCTTAAGGCATTGTAGGAAAAGTAATAGGAAGTAAAAAAAATAATTTCTATGGAAGCATGTGTATAAAATATTGTACCTTTGTTTTGTTTGGTCATGAAAATATGAAGAGCAATATAGTAAATAGATTTAATTGTGGTGAAGACGTCCTTAGAGTCTTACCTAACCCTAAGTAGCGACATCCTTTTGACTAGGGTTGGAACCCCCGAGATATCAGTCACTATCCTACCACACAGTTTTTATCCACCTAAAAAGTTATTCTTAATTTTTTGTCTCATAAAAGCCCTGGTTGTAATTTGTACACATCTCAGAGTATTGTTACCATTGGTCTACACAAGTGCTTTACTCTGTTATGGATCTTTATACCCAACCCAACTCATCTTGGTTACAATCTATGCAACTTGTTTTACCTGCCTTGCAAAATCAAAGACTGTATTTGTAAAAAAAAAAAGGTGGGGGGGAGCTCATATGTTGCAAGGTGTAAGCGGGATCTATTATACAGTATATCACATTGAGTATTAGCAAACTGAACCTATGTTTTGTGACATCATTGCAACCCCTGTATAGTCAGCACCAAGTTCTTTCAACCAGAGTTTGAAATTTCCCTGTTACCATTTGCATCCTTTTCATGGTTTATGTAGTGTTTTTCAGTGGGATTTGTACTGTTTGTTTTGATATCTTTAGTAACAACAGTATTTAACATTCACCTGGGAGGCAATGGTTTTCATACACAGTTGTTCATACTTGAGAGTGGATCATTGGGCTGGTGACTAGGGGTTTTCCACACTACCTGAGGGTGAAAGGACCTCTTTTTCTCACAAGATTATTCAAGTTTTTGAGATCAGTTATCTGAACTTGGGAGTTTGAAATTAATATTTTATCAGTACAGTAATAAGTATTTTATGTAAATACTCCAGATATCTTTATTTGACAGTTTCTTGCTTCATGGGTGTATGTGAGTTGTATACCTGTGGCCTTTAAGAACACTCGGTTTACCGTATAGTGTATATTTGATATTTTTCATTTGAGTTGTGGTAATTTTTACTTTTATTTTTCATGAAGTTTGTAAAAGTATCCAGGGCTGCGGTCACATGTTTTAACCTTCACCAGGTCTGCTTGACATCAGTTCCTATGCTTGTGGGCAATGATGCCATCTGGAGATTTACATTACTTTGATAAGTTCATTATACCTGAGCTAGGGTGTGGTTAAATCCAGTATTTTTACTTAGATGTGGTGTGTCATTATAGTACTGTTAACCCCTTCTGTGTCACACTGTATGGCGGCAGTAGTACAAGTTATGTAAAGTTCGTCGGATGTGTGGCAAGGAAGTGGTTCACACTTGTACAAAATGCCTCTCCACTTCTTTCTTGAATCTATAATTCATGTTAAATGTATACTGTATTGTTATTTGTAATACTACTAATATATTTATGGTTTCAGTTATGATACTTTTTATTAAATTAAAACTTAAAATCATATAGATCTTTATTAGTAATATTTTCAGAATAATCAAAATTTTAAGTAATATTTATTATGCAAAATTCTATCCTTTTTCAGGTCGCTACAGCCGGTATTGAGGTGTTGGTGTCAGTTAGACTTAGCTGTTATGGAAAATTTATCCTGTTCCCTGTATGGGATAACCATTTTATTGGGATAGTAACGGGCCATTAGGTATAGACTTAAACCTTGTTAGAATGTAATGCCATAAGGTGTTGTGTGTAAGATTACACAAGGTCATAACAAATGTCATTTTCTCATTGTACTGAATAAGAAATGGTGCCAATGTCTCCTAATGTTATATCACTTTTAGATAACTTGCCACACTTCTTGTACAGGGAGCAAAAATCTCAATCCCAACTTGAATATACAAATGAATAGCCCTGAGGCATTAATAATAAATATATTTAGGTAAAAATACATATGAAACGGTGTTTGTACAATGCAGTAGTTGTGGCTATGTCATGTTATGAAATTTTTTCAGCTGGCCAAAATTACTTATTGGTTTGCCATCTTAATATATTAGTTCTTGAAGTGAAAATGTGTTTTGTGCTTATTATTTTAGTATTTAAATCACAGATGATGTGGAATTTTGTTATACACGAAGGGTGTTTATGTTAAACATATAAGTTTAAAGGAATTTGCACTTGTGATTGCCATTGCTATTACAATTAGCTAAGTAAAGTTATCATGAATTCATATCTTTGTAAAGATTTTTGTTTCTTTATTATTAATGTTTTGTGTTGCTGATTATAATGTGTGATGAATAGTAGTGAAATATTGATTGTGAATATATCAAAAAGAATGTGTAGACTAGGTGCGTGTGTGTGTGTGTGTGTGTGACAGGAGAGTTAGAGCAACTCCTCTGATACCTTAGTTCATATTTTAGTTCCAAACATGTACAAGGACAAAAATAGTTGTGGTTCACTGCATAAATAAACATATGTTAATGATATTTTCTTTTGTCATCCCAAGGCTTGAAGAATGGAGTATTGGTGAATATTGGAAGATAAGGAAATCTTAATGAATGAGAAGAGTAGAAGCACTGGCCAGAGGCCTTTAGGGAGCATTGGAGAAGAACTTATGGCGAAGACAGAACAGGCTGGCAATATTCTTCACTCATTTAAAGTCAACCAAGAAATGGATTGTTAACAAGCTAGAATTGAAAATTCATGAAGCATGTGAAGATCTCAAACGTTAAGAATTTACTGAAGCTTGAAGGGGCACTTGGCGAAGCTTATGAAGAATTCACTGTTGATTTGAAGAAGGAAATAAGGCGGGGAGAGGGTAGCACACAAGAAAAAAAGAAGGGAAGGAAGTACGAAAGGGAAGTAAGCTTGAAGCACGATCAAAATCTGGGGCAAGACGAAGGAAGGCAAGAATTTGCTTCAGATCAAAAGGGCGTATTACGTCATCCTTGTTGACACCACATCAATCTCATCCTCATGGGCGAGTGTCAATACTGCCACTGAGGTAATCATTCATCTCCATTATGTTCGACACCTTAAGATAACATCTGACAATTTAATTTACATATTTCTTTTTACAAGCAAAAGTTCGTTGCTAGTCAATTCGGGTTAATGTCCACGACGAACAAATTTAAAAAATTTGATTATCAGGTGAACAAAGTTCTTTATTGGATTACAGTTCTTCATTAACAGGGTGGACAGCTTACTTCATTAGTTAGGTAATTTCTTGGACCAAAAGTTCTATCATCTTGTCTGAGACCGCCATAAGTAATTCACGTTATATTCTTGACTGAACAGGCGTTTGAAAGGCTTCTCTTTCGTGGCTTCTTTTTAGTTAAAAAGTCTTGGCTCCTTGTAAAAAAAAAAAGATATTCCTTCCAGTAAGCCTTTGAGAAAAAAGATTGCAACTGAATCAGAGCATAGAAGATTATTATTGAACCTTGGAATGATAATAAAGGGCACCTTTATTGTTATTCTTGGGTGGACCCAACTTGGCTTCATAATTTTCACTGTGTACGCCATTAAAAAAAAACTTGCGTCTGTTTTGATCAGTCAGTAAGTTTCACAGATGAATTACACTGAAATCAAAGTGGAATATTGCAGCCAGATGAATACAATTATTGCTAATTTGTCTTTCTTTCCAGATTTTTATTTTTAAGTTCGCAACTTGCGATATAACAGAAGTGATTTCAGCTCTGTTCTTGCGATATTCTAAATATCCTTCTTAGAGTTCCAAGTGAAGTGATGCAGTAAGTCAACAACAGGATACCCTCAAGCTTTATCACCCTTGACACTGGAAGATAATCTTGTTTCTGTAAGTTATCCTCAACGGATTCTGTCGTAAAACAGGTAAAGTGAATCTTTGATAGTACTTTGAATGAAGTCATATTATAATGGATGGTCAGAATTGCCTAAGCTCACAGAATTATTTGTGTGAAAAGTGTTTACTGGTGATGTAAGAAGGATACGAGAGGACAATGGTAGTGTGTGTGTGTTGAGGCAGTGAAGCAGCTGTCAGGAGAGACAACTGAGCTACATACATCATGGAAGAGAAGGAAAGAATAGGGGAGTGTATATTAATGGCAAAATTGATAGTGATAGGGCAGCTTGGAGGCTCTTTCCTCATGGTCACCCCCATAGAAAGGAGTTTTCCAGGGAAGTTTGGCATTATAGATGATTAAAGGAAGGTTGCATTTAGGAGTGATTGATAATAATTCTTGTTCTTGATTTGAGCAGAAGTGAATGACCAATTGATATAATGTGTTAGATGAAGTTTTGCAAAAGTAATGTGGCTGAAACTGTCTCGAGGTACAGGCATAGGATTACAGGTAACCCTCGATTTGTGATGGAGTGGTCTTAAAACATCATCGTTAAAGCAAAATATCATAAATCGGGGTTTACCTGTACTGTACAGTATATGGTGAGTGATGGGTTGGTGATTTCTGGTGCTGCAAACGAAGGCACAGCAATGAGAGATTGATGTAGGCAATGAATTGGGGTTAGTATTTATGGTAGCTGACTAGTGAAATTTTTTCAAGTTTAGGTGAAGGACTGTGTATAATGTACATACATTCCTCGCCATTGCGTTATGCGCGAGTTGGCCGATGGGAAGTGATCTTTGCTGAAGTGTCTCACACCCCTCCATACCAGCCAGCTGGGGGCTGAGGCAGGCCCTGTTGTTTCTTTGATTTTTTTTTACCACAATGGGCAAGAGGAAAGATTTAGCAAAAGAGCATGTTAATATTATGCCTGTGTAGTTATTGGCATGTATCCATTTGTTGACTTTTGGTAAGGATTATGCGTTGATATGTTTGTTAACAGTATTACTGTATGTATGTGTCATGAGATCTTTAATTTTGTAGTTTTATAGACAAAAGTATTGGAATGATAGAGAGGTGTGTGGAGTGTAATTGGTTACAGGATGGTCAAGGTGATATATGATTGGTTACAGGATGGTCAAGGTGATGTATGATTGGTTACAGGATGGTCAAGGTGATGTATGATTGGTTACAGGATGGTCAAGGTGATGTATGATTGGTTACAGGATGGTCAAGGTGATGTATGATTGGTTACAGGATGGTCAAGGTGATATATGATTGGTTACAGGATGGTCAAGGTGATGTATGATTGGTTACAGGATGGTCAAGGTGATATATGGTTGACTTTGAACCTGTTCCATCTTATACAAAAGGTAAAAGAAAAGAATCCACAGCAAGAGAGGGAAATCAGTGTTCATACCCAGATGAAACATCCATGGTACTACATTGACGGTGTTTTGTACGATTGCAAGTTTATTTAACATTTTTGGATGCATGCAGTCAAGCAATGTACAGTTTAACAAGTTTAGGAACAGGAAGACACTCACACTCTTTCTACAAGTCTGAACCACTCACCCAATCTAACCTGAACTTAGTTACATTAGCTGCTGCTACTACCTGTATTACTATTGCTTTTTCCCAGTTGCTTTTGTGTTTTGCACTAAAGGGGTTGAGTTTTCACTTTTCTGTAAGATATACAGTATATATGATACTGCTCTTTTTACATTTCTTTCAATTCATTCTCTCTATCTCTCTCTCATTATTTCTCATCCTTTTTGCTCTCTTTATCTTGTCTCAATCTTCTCACATAATGCATAACCATCTGGAATGATTTATTCTTTAACCCCTATGCCCCGGGCCACTCTGGCCTAATCCCCACGCGGGGTAAATCAAGAAAACTCAACTTTTCCAAAAATATTTTACCTTTTTCAAATGGTAAAGCAATAAAAAGTAAGAAAAACTATATATTCGCTCTCTAGAAACTTCCCTGGGGCCGCAGTGGCGAGGGAGATGAGGGAACAGTGTTGTTTTGACGGTTAGCGCTCGAGGTCACTATACACTTACCAGCCATTTTCTGTTTGTCTTTGTGTCCAGGATGGCCAGTAATGCATATATTTACTGATCATAATACTTATTTCATATAAATAATTCATTTAGAATACTTTATTTGCATTATTTCTCATAAACAGTACTCGGCAAAACGCATGCAGTCTGTCGCCAGGCTGTCTTTGTGTTTGGTAGAGCAAGTAACGCATATAAATAATTATCGGAATAATAATTCCACAAATAAATACATTTATAACAATTATAGCATTATTTTCCAGTAATACTATACTACACTACATTACAACTACACTAGTTTTAGCAATATTACTTAGAAACAACATGATAAAATGGGCAAACACTGAAAATGAAACAAACAAAAGTAGGTACTTACATTCAGGAAGCTTCCCTGTGGCCAAGCGTGTGGTACGACACACAAATAGTCATGCTGGAACCTGATAACCCGTGCTGGGCATTCGAACAATGCCACGAAAGGGCGAGCGTTCCGGAATGTCAACTGGGGCATAGGGGTTAATTAACTGTCTCAGGATCCCAACACTGAATACATTGTTGCATTTGTGCTGCTCACTCTAAAGTCCTTCAACTTCACTTAGGTATACAGTATTGAATTCGTACAAATTGAGCATGATTTTTTATGGGAAATTGAAGGGATGCATTCCTGAATTTCCAAAGCATGTTATTACCAGATAAAATTTTCAGTATTTGCAACAACAAAATAATAAAATAAATAAAAAGAATTGTGAATCAGGGAAGAAAAGATTTTATACTTTTCCAATTTAAAGCAAATGTTTTATTGGATAAGGTAAATAATAAGATGGGCTAACATCCAGCCACCCAGGTAATGTTGCTGGTTCATTTGCTTTCACACACCTTCCACAAAACACACACATTTGATTGTTTTGTTAGTCCCCCTCCTTTTTTTTTCACTCAAAGAAGACGGGTAAACCACAGGTACAACAAGTATGGTAACAGGTGTCAAGGTGGACACACATCGTTCAGCTCGTATATACAGCACCTGGGTTGATGGCTTCTGTGACTTACTTGGGAGAAGCAGGTAGGTAGTTCAAGATTTGTGTAGGTATCTTGTGATGCCAGGATGCTTCCGGGATAGTAAGTGTCACTGCAGGTGTGTGAATGTTGAACTACTTTGTCACTAGGTTAGATGCACGTGAGAGTAGAGTCATTTGATGGTCTATGTACTGCAGTTATTTAGGGAACACTACTTACAAATTCTTGCCTATAAATAAAGCACCTAATTTATGCAGTAATTTTTTATCATGAAACAACCATGCATTTACATAACTAAAACTCCTCAATCACTAAGTAGGGTTTTAAATAAACATAGAAGGTGCTTAATGCAAAACATATTGGTAAACAGTGTCAAGGATTAAACGGTAGAATTATTGTCTTAATCAGGCTCCAAGTTTGTGTCATAGTGAACTGAGCATAAGTTTTCCATGGGGTGTGTTTAGCCAGTGAGACATGCCTTTACAGTATTATAACCAGTATCAATTAGGGGAAATGGAGTTGATCTACACTGTATGATGTAATTCTTATTTTACGTGCATGTATGTCGTTGGCCTCTCGCAAGAACCATGTGAGCATTGAACTTATACTGCTTTCTCTATATTTATTTTTGGGGGTATTATACAGGCTTGGAAAACCATTCAATGGAATATAAAGTTTGTATTCCTCTCTGTTAGAGGACCAGGAAATTAGTTATAATTAAAGTACAGGTATTTTAAATTTTTTTTTAAATATTCGGGCCACTGTCAAATTTAGGTATTTAAAGGAGTAATCTGTAGAATGTGGCTTTTTGGTAATGTCCAATATGGATCCAAGACTTAATGGTAGACAGCTGATAACACTAAATATATCTTGTAAAATAAACTACGTTTATTTGGTCCTAGTAATACAGTATGTGTGGAAATTTGTGTATGGGCCAAAAGTTTTATTTGAAAACCCTGCAGTGGATTGCATTTCAGTTTAAAATTTTATAGATATACAGATTAGCCTATACAGGCCCAGTTTCAAATCACAAGTCTAACAGATGTAATTTTTCTACTTACATACCACCTCCCCTCTATTGCTTTTAAGATATTTTACAGTAAATATGATTGAACCAGAGCTGTAACACTGTAGTTATAACATTGAATGAATTTTGACTTATGTATTCGCACATCTACTAACACTACTTCTTCTGTTTTTGCCACTTGCAGTTTCTGCTGGTTTAGTTGTGAGAGTTTCTGGTACAATTACTTTTTTTTTGTGACTTTGTGGTAAAAAAAAAAGTATAGTTTTCACACTTTATGGTTTCCTTACAACCAGTGATCCTGTACTTACACACATCCTAAGTTAATGAGGTACAGTTTACTAGATTATATTTGTTCTTTCATCCAGAGTTATATGCAACACTTACACATCCATTCAAAAACTATTAGAAAAGGATCCTTGACATGTTTGTATATACAGTATAGCAGATAATAGGTTAACTTTATAATTACTTGCAGAGTGGACCAATTGCTGTGCTGTGTTCCAGGTGCATTAAACTCCCAGGGAATTTCATAATGTGTACACTTGCTGTGCTTGTATCTACAGAAGTATGTTGGTGTTAAGATTGCTACAACCTCATTAAAGCTTATTAAGGTTGAAGATTAACAAGCAGATCTTCAGCACCACTTTGAATTAATGTTGTATTCAGTACCAGCCATAGTCGTAAGTAACAACTTTTATGCCAAGATTGTAAACTTTTCTGATGGGAGTTGGTACATGGGGTCCTTGCTATACCTTGTAGTGATGTACGTCGCTAATAAATGTAGGAAGACATTTCATTATATGTCGGTTGTTTCACATGTACGTCATTTGCATCATCTACTGTTTTATACTAAGTCTGTGTGTTCCCAAATATGATGCATAATAAATTGTAATAATAACCATAATAAGTCATCTTAGAATCAGGAAGTGAAAGCACAGGAGCAGTTTTTAGAGCTTATTTGAGTTAAATTTTTTAGTTAAATATAAGTATTAATCTGTTTCTGTTCAATAAAAAGCAACATCTTTTCTTACATTAGTCGTTGTGCTGACAGCAATCTTCGCAAAACCCTTCATGAATTATTGATAATAGCCGGTTGGAACTATGGACCTGATATACAGTATAATTATTACCTGGATTAGGGAAATTCTTGCCAGCTGCAATTCATTTTGACACACAAACCAGCATCTCTTAAATTTTTAATGTGTTCTTAAACATTCTAACCTAACCATGGGAGGACTACACTTGTAGCTGGGTACAATGGGAGTGGAATAAAATTGATTATTTTTTAGCCTCTTGTTATTCGCAGGGGTTAGGTTCTAAGGAATGGCAGGAATGGGCAAAACCGCGAATAGCAACTTATGCTACCATAGTGCATTACTGTATGTGAAACTTAAATCACCCATACTAACTTATTCATATGTGATCATCTGATGTGGCCTTCCCAGTCATCTTCACATTATGGAACTAGAATTTTTTATCAAAATTCTAGAACCAACCTTTACTGGTACTAAAATCTGTTCAGTAGCCACACTAGCCCCTTCACCGCTTGTTGATTCATGAAAATGGGCTTAAAGACTCTAGTCACTGTAGCACTTGCTGTAACAGTCATAAATTACTTGTTCATTCTTCTTAATGTACTGCATCGTGGATTCATTCACACCAAACAACTGCGGCGGAGCTCATTCCTCTAACTTGCCTAATGATTGAACTTTCTTGGTAAGGGTCATCACAGACTTGCCTTTTGTGTTTCACTGCACTAACATCACAAGCACTAGTAGTCTTTTGGGGGCTGTTTCACTCAAAAAGCACTAAAGTTTTAAGCTTAACATGAGATATGCTGTGGTATGGACAATAGTTGAACACAAGCCAAGGAGAGAAGAGTCTGTTAGGTAGTGGGTCGCAGTGCTCCCACAAAGGCACGTGAGCTAGCCACTAACTGCTGACCACGAATAGTCGAAACTGTGAATGGTAAACCTACGAATAACAAGGGTTTGTTATACATCACATTCATGATGTAAAATTTATTTACATTTTTCAGGATACAGTAATATATTGTCTATTACTTAAGTTAATGTGTATGTGGGCATAAAAATTATCATATATTTTGGTGACTTTTAAAAGTAATTTTATGTGTTCGGCCTTTAAAGTGCAGAATTAACGCTTGATGCTTCATTGGTTTAGTCTGTAAGAAAGTGAATAAATTGTTTTTCTAATAAATGTTTCTCTAGCCTTTATCATAGAAAAGTTGGTTGTGTTAAAAATGCCACAAAAATTAATGATCAGATACTCAGATGGGTTGATGGAACTTAGAAGACGAATAAGAAGTTTGATAAATATGAAGGGAGTTGCAGTCACTGTACTACCATAGAGGAAATAAAGAATGTAAATTAAGACTGGCATTTCACGCTTACAGTGTGAAAATAGAACAAAACTCAAACAATGTAACTAAGACTACATTCCTCGCCATTTGCATAATGCGTGAGGTGGCCGACGGGAAGTGATCTTTGCTGAAGTGTTTCACACCCCTCGACACCAGCCAGCTGAGGCAGCCATTGTAAGTGTGGCAGCGAAGGGAGACTCGAGGACAAGTCGGCCAACAATCAAAACGTTCACCAGAATTACGAGTCAACCCCCCCCCCGGACACTGCCCCTCGGAATGCCACCGCCTCTTGGAGTGCTGCCGCTACCCTTGGAAGGGACCTCTAGAGCATCACCATCCCTGACAGGGCCCCTGGGGTTACTCCCACCCCTAAGGAGGGCCTATGCCCTTGGGAGGGCCCATGAAGGAGCCGCCACTACCCAATGGATGCCACAGCCCCTGAGAGTGCCCAAGGGGAGCTTCCACTCCTAAAAAGTGTCCCTTGGGGCGCCGCCGTCCATGGGAGGGCTCGTGGATGCGATGGGCGGTGTATTTATTTAACGTCATATCTCCCATTGTTCTAAATAGTACAAAAACAACTGTCCCCATGGGAATTACAGAAGCAGTGATCCCCAATACCCTTCTATTTGCCTTACCAGGTGCAGCTCCCGAAGGAGCCCTCCCAAGGGTAGCGGTGTCCCAAAGGGGCCCTCGAAAAGGTGACGGATCTCCCAGGGGACCTGCCATGGGCGGTGGCGCCATCAAGGGCATTGGGAGGCCCTTGATGGCGATGGAACACCGGTCATACAGTATTATGACCAGTGAACACTACTCTTTGATGAGATGGTTATGCCAAAAATGAAAATTAGCTGTTTTGCCTTGGAATTTACAAGGTATTACCCAACAAGATTATGATGAGTGGCTAACTGGAAGGGTGGAAGCAGGTAACGTGACGTGACTGTAGACTGGAGTGAGTGACAGTGGAGGCGGTAATTGGTGCAATAACTAGTAGTAGAGTGGACGGGTCGATGGCTGAGTGGTAGGTTGCCACACACCGCTACATCCTGGTATGACGAGGCTAGCTAGAGTCACCAAGACACTGTACTGGTGTATACAATAATAATAAACTACACTCGACCTAAAGTGCCAACTCATGCTAGGTGGTGACTGACTCTTGAAGCGGTGACCTTGACTTAACCCTTTGACCCCCCCATCCAAAAAAAAAAACGTGACCCGCAAGTGTTCTCACTCTAAACACACACACACACACACGTCCAATTACTCACATATAGACAGGTATGACCAACACACTTCACTACTAATTATAATAAAATGTTAAGAATTAGTGTCTGCAGCAGTTCAAAGATTACTATAATTATTTCTTATACGTCACAACGCACTAACTCGAGGTATAAAGTGTGTGAGTCAGGTATTGTGTTTGTGTTTTCTTGGGTGTTTTATGTGTGTGTGTTTGTGTGTGTGTGTTTGTTTGTAGGAGTCAAGCATCGAGTCGGTACGAGTTAGGCATAATTAGCAACTTAATAGGGGGAAAGTTGCCAGCGGCCACCACAATCGTCTCTCTATCTATCTCACCAAAGACTAAATGAGAGATTCTAATGGTCTACACACTTATCTAATGGTCTACACACTTATCTAATGGTCTACACACTTATCCCATGATTTACACACTTTTGACTTGTATCCAGAGATGCCAACATGTGTGTGGATAAGACCGTAGAAGTCATACACGGAGAGGAGGGGGGTATAACGTCAAGGGTGTTATGCACGGTGGAGGGAAGGAGGAAGGGAGAGAAGGAGGGAGGGAGGGAAGTGTAGATATAACACTAAGGGTGCTATGCATGGTGGAGGGAAGGAGGAAGGGAGAGAAGGAGGGAAGTGCAAGTATAACGCCCAGGGTGTCATGCACGGTGGAGGGAAGAAGGAAGGAAGGAAGGAAGCAGGAGGGAGGGAGGGTGTGGGCGGGGCTTAACTATCGGTCGGTACCACGCACACCTCACCACTAGTGTGTGTGAAGGTGCTGCCATGCCAGGTTACCGCTCCGTCTGCTGCTGTGTTAAGCTCACCACAACATCCCCCCCCCCCTTACCTGCTCCTACACACCTTAGTGCCAACCCTCATCCCACACTAACGTAAGAGAGGGCCAGGTACAGTGCCACATTCGAAAGGGGGGAAAGAGGAGCTAGTGCCATTTACATTGTGCCAACACGGACCTCTACTGACACACACACACACAAGGATGGTTATAATGGTTGGGTCGTCTTCTGCTACCGATTGCTAACCTCGATTCATCATCATCCTCCTGATCTGACCTCACCTCACCACAAGGTATGTCCTCTATCCTGCCTGTGTTATACTGTATGTTCGTGGGTGATGACCTGACACACACTCACACATCTTCAGGGGTGAGTACAGACTGTACTCACCCCTGAAGATGTAAATTACACGAAAGCGCTTGGGAACTTTGTTTTCTTCTTTCCTTTATTTATTTATATATATATATATATATATATATATATATATATATATATATATATATATATATATATATATATATATATATATAGGCTATATATATTTTTTTTTTTTAGGGTGTGACAGTTGCCCCAACTTTGTCCTACAACGCTGTTCAAAATTTTGGTGTTGTATATTGACAAATAATACCCACGTGCAATTTGAAAAATAGCGATTTTGCTTATACGGCATACGCGCCTATATATGAGATTACACAACCATCATAAGGGATATTAACACAAATCATTTGCCTGTCTTAATTAAAAGCTGTTATCACTAACACAAAAAAGTTAATCATTCTTATTCTCTCATGGTCCATAAGGGGTTTTATCATATATTCACAAGGTATTATTTCTCTAGAGCAAGAAACCATGATTTCTGTTCGGAAACAGATTATCGTTTGCGCTGATTAGGAACGCGGAGTCTGTCATTTTCAACTACTTGAAGGACTTCTTGAAAACGCTCCTCATCCCTGGCAACATTAAGAAAGTCATGGCAAAGTCTTACACCACGTTCTGCAGCCTCATTGACGACCTGAAGCTTGTCCACAACCCGTTTTATGTTCAGGTAGTCGTCATGATCCACCCATTCACTGGCTGGACTGTGGAGAAACTGATAGGGCATGCCTAAAATGGTGAAGAACCGGCTTGAGTCAGGCCCAATTAGGTCCACCAGGGCAGTGCCACTTTCTGGGACAGGGGGAAGATATGGCTTTCCATAGCCCCCATGATTGAGCCCCACTCTCTTAGTAACTTCAGTGCCTTCATGGCAAAGAAGGGCCTTCCTCATCTCCTCTTTTATACTTTCTTGTACTTGGGACGAGAACAAAGCCTGTGGGGCCAACTCCTCAGTTAGGTACCAAGTGTGTCTACCGAGTGCCACACGTGCTTTGTCAACTATTGTGGCGTCATATGGGGCAAATTCAGCCAAGGTTTCGACCAAATTCAAGTCATTCAGTGGCGCACTTGCTGGAACGGGGCAAACAATCCACCATGGGACATAAACAGCGACTGTGAACACACCAAACCGTTCTAACTTGCTGATTTGACTTTTAGTCACAACCTCGGCTTTGGGAAAATGCTCTTTGATCTGGCCTGACAAAAGAACAATCTTGAGGGTATGGAGCAGTTTAGCCATCCACCTTGCTTTGTGAAGTGCGCCGGGGTAGACCATCGTGAAGTTCACTGGCTCGGATCCTTTAGTTACAAGCAGCAGACAAAACTCTACCAGCTCCTTGTAGTCGCCACGTGTAAATGGTTGGGCTAGAGATTCACGGAAGAAGTCAGCCATCTCCTGCTGGCGCTCCTCAAACACTCCAGGCATTGCGGGGTAGTAGTAGTTCTTTTTTTTTCATTATACGCCAGTTGAGAGAAATGGGTCTTGAACCTAGAAATGCAATTATTGGGATTATTGTATTTCGTACTAATCTATAATATTGTTTTAGGGGTATTAAGATTGATATGATCGATCATTTGCTTGGTGTTAGTATATCTTATAAGTCTTATTTGTTCATTAGATAATAATATTCCTTGTTATTTTGTAAAGCCGACGGTGCTCGCTCAAACATGCACCGATCTCCAAGAAAATTTACAGGGGTGTTTCCTTGATAAATACACAACACTAAAACTTTGAACAGCATTGTAGGACCATTTTTTTTATTTTTGGAGGGCATCAGCCTTGATAGTAGTACACCTTCACACAAGCCTAGTCTGAGTGATGGTGATGATGAATGATGATGATGATGACTAGGATGATAATGATAGTAGAAACAAAATAAAAGCGGGGGGAAAACCCTGTCAACTTTCTAGTGGATTATGAACAAATAGACACCACAACTGAACATTATTATACCACTCTTCTCATTGAACAACATGGCAGAGACCCCAACAGACCAGCTATCATTATTGTGTGTTAGGCTCTCTCCATCCGGCTGTATCATCGGCCAATCAGCGAGAGGAACACAACAAGTGGTAACAACAATAAACAACAGCAATAATAATAATAATAATAATAATAATAACGTAAAATTAACAAATAAACTGACATATTGACAAAAACGCCCCCATATTTTTTAAGCACGTCATCCTCGTGAGCAAGGTATTGATAACTCCCGTTCAATAATGGCGGGAAAAAAGGGGGAAGTTTTGAGTTAGCGATATTTTTAATAATTAACTATGAAGCCTCGTCTATATACTTGGTGGTTAATGCGTAGCGGATATTGATACTTCCTGGTATATCCTGTTTAATGTATGCTACTACTTCCTGACGTTTAACATGATAGTAAATGTTGTTTTTTTTCTGTCGCTAAACTTGCTAATATTGTTACTTTCTGTCGCTAAACTTGCTAATAATGTCACTTTGTTGTCTACCAGGAGGTAAATATTGCTACTTTGCTCCTGTTTCTTATTAATGGCAGCAAAATTACACTGAGACTCTACCTTCACTAGATTCAGTTCACCAGTATACCCACCAATCCTAGCCTATCCTAATCTAGTGTAATTGCTCCTAATCCACCTAATCCTAGCTTATCCTAACCCAGTTTACTCCAACTAGTATTAAAAACAGCTAATTCACCCAACACACTTCTTTCAAAGCTAAACATCAAAGGAACTCATTCATCTCCGTTTTGTTGTGTGTGTGTGTGTGTGTGTGTGTGTGTGTGTGTGTGTGTGTGTGTGTGACCGCTGTGCACATGTACACTCGCCCACAATTTCGGTTTAGTACATGCAGACACACATTTAGTACACTATTGACGTACACAAGGTTGAAGTCTACAGGTGTTGTTGTCTTCCGTGAGCCGCATGGACAGGCAGTGTGACAGAAGGGAGGCGTAAGTCAATACTTGGATCGATAACATGTTGACATAACCCAGCAGCCAACACCGCCTTGAGGAACCTTCCAGTTCATCGTCTACCACTTGTCACTCGCGTCTTTAATCCACTTCTACACTTTAAATTATCCTTTTTTCCTTCGTAATCTTTAATACTCTTGACGTATATAGTTACCAGGTCAAGTATCAATCAGTAAATCACGTGTATATTGATATTATTGCTTGAATTCTGCAAGCAAAGGGATTCAAGCCATTGCATCATAGAAAATGGCTAAGTGATAAATTTTATTAGGGGGTAACTTAACTATTATCTATATCATACGCGGTCTTACTTTTACTTTTACTTTTATCCTCTTCGCCACTGATCGGCTTGTTAGCCGCTTGGGCGATCGGTCACGACTCTTTTCCTTTATATTCTTCACCAAAAGGTCGGCTCGCTAGCCGCCCGGGCGATCGGTCACGTCTCTGTCACGCACTGTTGGCAAATACTGGGCATGCACCGGCTCCTGAATGTACCTGAACCCGCTCCAGTGTTGGTCAAGTCTTCTCTTGAAAGAGCTCACACTCGGTGCCGTCACAACACTTTCTGGTAGATTGTTCCAAGAGTTTACAACCCTCACTCCGAAAAAGTTTGCCCTCACGGTTTTCCGGACTTGCAGCTTCTTCAATCTTGAGCTATGACCCCTTGTGGGGCGAGCGTCCGCCAGCTCCAAGTAAGGACACTCAACTGAGTAGTGCCCCCTGAGATGCTTATAAACCTCAACTAGGTCCCCCCTTGCGTCTGTAGTATAAATGAAGCAGTTCAGGCGCTCCAATCTCCTTGGGGTAGCCAGTAAATTTTGGCTTTCCAACTTGGTGGCCTCCTTTGGGTATTTCAACCAACTGACAGTCCTAGCATATCTCGGGGACCAGATGGGGTGACGAGCCTCCCAGATGGGGAAACACTTCCTCTGAGGAATCGTGCGAGGACGGACCGTCTAGATATCTGAACGACAACTATATAAGACCCAACCGTTTGTTTGCCTGATTTACCTTCTTCCACAATGGCCAAGAACTTCAGCTCATTGTCAACCTTGCTGCTTACACCTACCTAGGTCCTTCTCACACACAGTCTCAACTAGTACATTTTCTTCATCCCGTTGGGACATATGGTACGCCTCCTTACCGTTGGTACACCCCAAGTGCATCCTCTTACACTTCGTGACATTGAATCTCAGCAGCCATTCCTTCGACCATTCCTGGAGCCCACAGAGGTCCTTCTGCAGCTCTTCACAGTCCGCTTGGTTCTTAATTTCCCGAAATAACTTGGCGTCATGGCAAACATTTGTATGGAGGAGTGTACAACGTCAGGCATATCATTTATGAAACAAACAAACAACAGCGGGCCCAATACACTACCCTGCGGTACCCCACTTGTTACAGGTACAGATGACGATTTCGTGCCATTAATCACCACACATTGCTTGCGGTCATGTAGAAAGTCTTCTATCCACGCTAGGACATTTCCCCGAATTCCGTACCCTTCCAGTTTGATTTTCAGCCTTTCGTGGGGTACACTGTCGAAAGCCTTGGCAAAATCTAGGTAAATATTGTCGATATTACCCCCGTTCTAGAATATGGGTCCAAATATCAATACCTTGATAATTGTGTCAAGCAAGAGCGCCCCGGCATAAAACCGTGTTGGCAATCTTTTACAAGGTTGTTTCGTAGTAGATGTTCAGGATTTATCCTGAATACAATACTTGGGGGTGATATAGGCAAGTGTTTGAACAGTATATCGTGTTCAGAGGCAGTGATTTAGGCAGTGTTCGTCATTGTTGATAAAGGTGAACGACCTACTTGAAGTTTACAGTCAAATATGAATAATCCAGATATTCCTGACCTAAAAAACCCCCACCTTTTTCGTGAATATAATTACCATTTTCTCTATAATTCCTCTTTGGAAGTAATAAATAAAGATACTATGGAATTATTTTAGTCATGT